GGGCATTATTTTATTCTTTCTAAAATAAAGTTTTATATTACAAACATAAAAAACTTAACAATTTTTATTATTTTTAATTAAGGATTAAATGTAAAAGTATCTAGAATTATTCTTATTCTAACATTACACAGGATACATAGAATAAATTATAAAAATCATCATATTATTACAAAATAATGATATTTATTCAAATTAAAACAAATAGAAGTTGTTTAAATTACTCTGAGTATATTTTTATTTAAATAAATATAAAGACTAGTAAGAATAAAATAAAAAATTCATTTAGTACACAAGATAAAAACTTGTAAAATGCAATAATAATTTATAGTACAGGATTTCTATTAGATGTCAAAACTGATGTGCTATTATTGAAATATCTTTCAAAACTAACTGGAAACCTAAATCAGTTTCCTTCAATATCATTTTTATAACTCAGTGGATGATGTATGAAACAATTTTCTCAGAATATCAAAAGTGGCTCTTAAATAATTTTATAAAAATATAAACATATATAAACCTGATTTTTAGATTAATGCCAAATGATTGCCAGATTACATTGGGTTATACTACTGCTACTAATTACTAATTAAATGCCTAGTAATTTAGCATAGAGGTAGGCATTAGGTGCCATCTCTTGATAAATTTAATAATTAATTTAGAAGGTTCTAGAAGAAAAGAATTGACCCAAAGTGGGACTCAAACCCACAATTCCTACTTGTCATGCAGATGTATTCCTAGTTATACAACCCAGACCTCCATCCAATCTTCACTTCTAGAACTATTAATTTAGATATAATCATATTGGTTACTCATGGAACCAACTGGGAACTATGATTAAATTATATCTAAATTAATAGTTCTGGAAATGAAGATCAAAAGAAGTTCCAGGTAGCATAACTGGCAACATGTTCACATGGTAAGTGGAAATTGTAGGTTGCATCTCATTTTGGGCTGATTTTTTTCTTCTAGAATCTTTAAATTAATTATTAAATTTATCAAGAGATGGCACCTAACACCTACTTCTAGGCCAAATTACTTGATATTTAATTAGCAATCAGTAGCATTATTATAGCCTGAAGTAATCTGGCAATTATTTATTATTATTAAGTCAATTATTAAGTCATTTTATGTTTGTTATGTTAATAAATCTTCTTAACAATACAGTAGTCTCGAAAACTCAGCCTAATGTGGACTGAAGGGTGGCAGAGTTTGTTAAAATGCCGGATTATCTGGAATGGGGTTAAAAAAATAAGTATGAGTGTTTCCTCAGAAAATACTGTACTGTACTTGTATGTATTGTTTACTTGAGAGTAAAACAGAGAATAAACTGCCCAAATACCCTTAAACAAAGGAAAAAGTACATACTTTATGAAGGCATTGAGCCTTTATTACATGAAAATGAAAATTAATGAATACACTGTGTACAATAATTTACCTGATAAAACAGACCTCAGAAAAATACTTTATGAGGCATAAAGCTGTCTATAATGAAAATTAATTAACTAAGGATTTTTTTGCCCTGCCAGGGTGTGGCCGAGCTATCCGGACTGCCGGGTTATCAAGTGCCGAGTTCTCGAGACTCTACTGTAGCAAAATTTTTATTTGTAGGATGAATGCAAAAACAAAAAGACATCAACAGATCCATTCACTTCTACTTATGAATATAGTGTTATTACTATCTGTTTTTACTATTTGTTGTCCTTCAATAAATATCTCAAACATATCTTAAACGAAAATCAACTTGAAACTTAGCTTAAGATGTTTTAGCCTATATAATAACAATTAATAGTATCTGACTGTGACAGATCAACAAAAAGACTGAAAGTTCGGATTATAAAGATAATACTGGACTGAATAGCCCCACAGAAAGTTTAATTTTTAATTTCAAGTATTAATGGAGCAAACCTGGATTATGAAGTGCGTAATTATTGACCATTACAATATTACATTTAATATTTACTTCTTATACTGTACTATTAATGAGTGTGACTGAGTGTTTGAAATTGAATAATTTTTTAATATACTAGTTTCAGCCATTGTAAGTCAAGAGTCATAAATTGATGATTGATTGTATTTTATTTTTCCAGATTTTAAACTTTAATTGAACTACTTTAAAAAGATTTTATTAATTTATTTCTTGGATTTGACAATACTTTTTAATTATTAAAAGTCCTAATAAATTACATCATTTTATTCTTGACACACTGAGAAAGCAAATAAAGAATGACACAAATTTATACAATATATATGAGAAACTGTTTTGGCCAATAAAATACTATACTATATTATATTATACACCACTGCAAATTATAGTTAGGAAATTATAGTAATTGTATTAAAAATTTCACAAATGTTAAACAAATATGTTAGTAATAAAACCTATTAGCAGCAAATATGATGATAATTTATTTTTATCAAATAATAAAATATACAAATCAACAATATCATCTTTTTTATTTATGAGAATAATTAGTTTGTTAAAATACATTTGAAAACTTAAAGAAACAGATCAGAAATATATTTAAAATGGAGATATTTTCAATTTATCCCATCATATTTTGTATTTATACCAATACAAAATGTCATTTATTGTCAACATCAAAGACAATTATATATGTTAACTTTTATATACAGTTTGAAAAGCCAAATGAAAAACTGTGTGATCAATAGAAACATCAATTTTAAATGATCTTTGATATTTCACACAAAGCTCATTTTGTTATTAACATTTTACTTACATTATTTTTTAAAATTATAAATAAAAAGTTTGATAGGATTTTTTCAAGTAACAAACTAACCTGTACGAGTACAAAATATCGCTTTTTCCATTTTTTCCACACTTGTTTTCCTTGGGCAAATAAGTAACTGAAATTAACACATTAAAAAATTTTAAAAAAACTTAACAAAAACTTCCACAGATGACTTTTTATACTTAAACTTTACAGATATAGATATTCATTATTTTAAATTGTATTTTAATTCAAATTTGTATAATTTAAAGAAATTATGTTCCACTATCATTTATTTTTACTTTTACATTAAAATGAAAATGGCAAAAATAATTAAATACAAAAAAAAAATGAAATGAGATAAAAACTGATAAATAGTTAATTATTTAAAAAATATTTTTATGGTTAAATCAAATTACTTTTTCCATTAAACAGATGCCAAGATATATATCAAATTATAGAAATATATATGAATGCTTATCAATTAACATTAACTTAATCAGTACTTTTATACTTATCATATATTTAAAATAAATAATGCAATTTCCTTCATGTTCAAACATTCAGCTTATGAGAAGTTGCATTTATGAGGAATTTTATTTAATACCTTTCTTCAGATTATAAGCAATTACAAGGATTTTTTTGTACTTATGAGAAACAAGATCTCTCCCATTCACCTATTAATGTGCACCTTACACTCACCTTCTGCATCAGTAGCATATCTCTGTAAACTTTTATTTTATTTTTTAATTCTGTTTTTTGGACACTAAGAAGACCTCTTTTACGTGTCCATCAAAAAAAGAGGCCTTCCATCCATCATAGAATCCATCTTACAAGAGGATTTTCAGGAACATATTACTCTCTTAAAAGCTGAGGAAGTGTGTGTTTCATTTTTATCAGGTAAAATAACAATTTTGACAATTTGTTAAATACTATTTTACATTTAAACATTTAAAAAAATGTTAACATATTCACAAAATCAAGTTAAATTATGAACTTTTGCTAAATAAAATAATTCATTCATACTAATCTGTTCATCTCCAGTATTAAGATATTTCATCTATAATTATTTTTATTTTAACAACAACAAATATCATATATTTAAACTTGCTTTTTGAATTTCATGGCCACTTGTGTTGATTTTAACAATATATAACATTCTTTGAAGTATCAAAATGTTTGAAAAATATTTAGTACAATATTAATTAAAATTAAAAGCAATGTAATTCAGAAAAATATAATAGATATAAAACAGAAAAAAATGTAGTACAAATTAAAAGAAAATTGTATATTTTTAAATTTATCAATATGAACTTGATTTAATAACATCATCAGCTAATTATTATATATTATATCAGTCTCAAATTAATGAACAATATTTATTTACTGTAAAAATAAAATATCTTTTATTTTAAAAATGATAAAATTAACACTTACCCACAGTGTTTCATGTTTTGAGGTTTATCCATGCGGACAGTGATTTTAATACGCAGATCTTGATCTGGAACATTTTTTGGTACTATCATTTTATACCATTCTGGAGATTTTGGGCTTAAAGGAGTTGGTTTAATAATTACCTAAAATAAATATAAATGTTATTTATATTTATTGAAAAATTTTACTTTTTATTAATTTATATTATTTCTAACAAATGTTTTAGAATAAACCTACAAGAGAAAATATGCAAATGAAACTTACTTTCCTGTTTAAAACACAATATAAAATCAAATACATTTATTCTTTCATTGTTGCTTAACAAATAGATGGATCAAAATCAGAATACAGTAAAATATCAGTATGAAAAAATTGAAGGATCACATAGGTCCTGCACAGCAGCAAGCTATTGCCTTTACCACAAAGTTTGACCATCTTGCCTAGTCCATTTGTAACAAAGTTTATTGTCAGCAGCTGATGTGCAAAGTAGACAACAGTGACACTTATAATCATACTCCTTCTCTAGTTTAGCTATTGTTTGTTGCTGAAATAAGTCTGTAATTTTATATTACATGTATAATCAAAATTTTTCCCACAAATTCCTAAATTATGTCATAGCATTCTAATATGATAGCTAATATATCATTTTATCATGGAAAGGCACAGGCTTTACATTTTCTTGCACCTAAAATGGTAATCTCTGATTCATCTTCTACTGTATTAGATGAAGTCAAAAATACGATCTTAGATAATTGTATAGCAATGACACTATACTACAAATCAGATTGAAAATTATGACAAATTTGTGTTTTCATGTAAACATTAATGCAGAATCCATTGATGATGAAAGATCAGTAATCAAAAAAAATCTTACTGAAACTACAACACAAAAATATAAATAAATAATGCCTTTATAATGGTCCAGCAAAAACATTTAATTCTCTAAGAACGTTTTCGACCGATTTTAGTGGACATTATCAGTTATTCCAATATTAAAAAGAACAAAGTATTCGAAACTACGTAATACAAAATTAAATAAAATTAAACTGCGTTTGCACAGAGCAACGGACAAACCTTTGTAGGTTATTCATATTACAAAAACATAAAATACTAAAGTAAACAAATAAACCTAAATAAATAAAAGTGCCGTCATCATGGATATATATATATTAGTCTGCGTTATTATAAAATGACTTCCAAGCAGAGGCCAATCTCTCTGCATCTCTGTGATTAATACATTCCGAGGTTATATGCGCTTTATGTATTTCTATTTTTTCAAGATGCCTCACTGCCTGCAAAGATCTCGTGGCTTTAATGATTGCCGCACGAACTCAGTATACGGTTATATTGTGTTGTTTGGCAAATGCCGCCAGAACAGTACTATCGATGTTCTTACTCACAGAATATTTATGCTCATTTATCCTTTGTTTTAAACTCCGCATAAATGAGCATAAATATTCTGTGAGTAGGAACATCGATAGTACTGTTCTGGCAGCATTTGCCAAACAACACAATATATCCGTATACTGAGATCGTGCGGCAATCATTAAAGCCATGAGATCTTTGCAGGCAGTGAGGCATCTTGAAAAAATAGAAATACATAAAGCGCATATAACCTCGGAATGTATTAATCACAGAGATGCAGAGAGATTGGCCTCTGCTTGGAAGTCATTTTATAATAACGCAGGTTAATATATATATCCATGATGACGGCACTTTTATTCTTTTATTTATTTAGGTTTATTTGTTTACTTTAGTATTTTATGTTTTTGTAATATGAATAACCTACAAAGGTTTTTCCGTTGCTCTGTGCAAACGCAGTTTAATTTTATATTACGTAGTTTCGAATACTTTGTTCTTTTTAATATTGGAATAACTGATAATGTCCACTAAAATTGGTCGAAAACGTTCTTAGAGAATTAAATGTTTTTGCTGGACCGTTATAAAGGTGTTATTTATTTATATTATTGAAAGATCAGTAATTTAGAAATTTCACTATAATACAAATAACAACAATGCTATTTTATGAGAGGTCTGTTTATTTCTTCCTATTAACCATTTAAATCCAATTGAGTAGATTATAACATTTGAATATTGAATCTCCAATAGAACATTCAACTTTAGTAATGAACTAATGGAGCTTGAAAAATGTTTAAGACCTGTATATAAAATAACCATTCTTGTTGTATATCTAGACTGTAGGGTCAAGATTCATTAAAATGATAATTTTCTTTTATAAAAAACTGAGTTTTTATTTTATTAAACTGAAATCTTTATTACAATGACATTTATTACATTGAACCATTTTTACATTAAAATATATAGTAAATTGGGAGAGAATTGAAAATAAATTTGTTATACCAGCATTTGTAACAATAAAATTTTATTATACTGTATATACAGTGACAAATTTTTATGTAAGTGAAAGAATCAAAAAGCATTAGAGCCATAAAATCTGGTAAAGAAAATATTTTGCTAGCACAAAGTGCTTTGGATAGAAACTTAATTGTTTCATGAAATTATGTAGAAGTATTGGAAATCTTTAGGCTGGATAAAGAAGCAATACAGCATAGAAGTCTCATTATGCATTTAGATAGCAGTATGCAAGCGTTGTTGTGGTAATTTCTCCCACTCCTCTGTATGGATAAGCAATGGGACAACACAGTAATGGTGAATTACATTCAGCAATGTATTTTCTGAGAGTATCCTTGAATGTATTTTAGGATTTAAATCTGAGAGCATGCTAGCCAACATATCATTGGTGCACAAGAATACTGACTCAAAAAAATAGTTCTTCTAGAACAGCCACTTAAAAGTTTCTTGTTTCCTGCACGGCTTTGTCATGATCTTGGATTTTTAAAATTTTCAAATCTATTTTGGAAATAAATATTAGTCTTCATTCTTCCATATAAAAATATAGGGAGTTTGCTATACATTTCTACAATAAACTCGAAATTGGAAATTTTTGAGTTGTGTCACTATTCTTCTGCACCAATGATATATGATGAATATTCTCACTTTCTAGAAGTTCATCCACTGCTGCTGTACAGTATGGTTGGCCTGTCTTATTCATGAAAATGAATTGTTCACCCACAACACCATAGAACATTCAAATTTGGTGAAGCCAAGAAGCCAATCCATATCAAGCCCAGTATCACTGTATCTATCACTTTTCATAATGTTTGTTGGATTATTAGTGATGCTATGTTGTTTTGTGCCAGATCAGCAAACATTCAGAATTTGATAAGAAACTAAAATTACTCATTTGTAACCAAACCTGGTACTTGTGTTATGCTGACCAATTTCTATAGGTGCAAAATCATTGCAAATCTATTGTATGGTAATTTTTGGACATAGGAACATATTATACTAATCTTTAGGCATATAGTATTCCTTTGCCCAAATGTCTTGCAATATTTTTCCAATGATATCTGCATACCCTTGCTTGCATATAACTGAGTTAAAATCTGATTTGCAATACTGTATTGATTGTTTTGCTGTGAGCAGTATGTTTTAGTCTTCCCATTTAGTAGTAGAGCAAAGATGATTTAACTAATCTAATGTGTGTTCATGTTTCTGAAAACTTTGACAGGAATTTGGAAACAACATTATGAGAAACTCCAAACTCTCTAGAGACAAACTTTCTTCAGTTTTCCAATAACTTACCTTGGGTAAAATCAGCTAGATTAAAAAAATCTAATCTTTGTGCCATAAAAAAATGATGGAACTGATAACAAACAGAGGCAATTAAATGTCTCCCAACTGTAACACATTTAACTAATCCATTTGTTTTATATCATCTCAATTGCTATACTGTAACATCAACTGTGAGTGAAAATTTTACAGAAGCATTCAATTTCTATCACTCCTCAGTGCCATACATTATCCCAAAAGGACTGATGAATTAAGTTGCATATTTTTTCAATATCATATTTGTTCTTAAGTTTTAGACACCAGTGTACATATATTTATATGAGTTAATATGAAATTTATTTTTCTTATGGTCATCTTATAAGTTAGTTTAATTCATCATGCTTATTAGATTATAGTTGTCTGTGAAGAAAAATATTTGCCAAGTGCAAATATGTATTTTTTTTTTTTTTCATACACTACTATAAGATACCAAGTGCAAATTTCCTATCATATTTCTCAGAAAAAAAACATTTCATTGTGACCAATTTAGAATGAAATATGATAGAAAAACTAAATAATTCTATTAAATCAAAAATTATATTCAGAATTATTGCTAATAACACAAAACAACCCAATTTAATTATTAATGCCAAACAAACTGCTAGATTATTCATTGAGCTGTAACAAATCTAATTTAAGACTAGATATAAACAATTTGGCTACAGGTAGACAGTTAAACCACCTTCTAATGATAAATTTAATAATTAGAAATAAATTTAATTTATTGGGTTGTTTGGAAAGTAATTTCGTTTTTTTTCTGTGGAAAAACACACAATATTTTTATAATAAATAAATATTTTATTGAATTATATATCAACCATTTTGGTGAAATCCCTGTTGTCATCATTTCTGGTAGTAGCATGATTTCACATTCATAAAAGTTTTGATCGTTGCTTACAAAAAACCGATCCAAGTGATTTTTGACATTGCCATTTCAAGTAAATGTATTACAGTTAAAAAAAATTAGTATAGACTGGAACAAGTAATAATCTGAGTGTGCTCGATCTGGCAAATATGGTTGGTATGATAGCACATCCCATCTATAACAGTTTCTGACGAGTTACCAAACTTGTGCGAAATTTGACATTATCGTGGTAAACACTACACCTGTTTTGTTGATCAATTCTGGCCGCCTTTTCTGTTTGGTGATATTACTCAATTTGTTAACTCAATGGCAGTACACTTTCGAATCAATTGTTAAATTGTCTAGTAGAAGTTCTAAAAAAAAAAATTTTCCTTAAAATCTCACCAAAGAGAGCATCTCTCTAAGAACATGTGGAACCCATATATCGAGCTTTGAAACAAAACCAATTTGTTTCAAGTAATCATAAGCAGTTCAATTCGACAGATTTAATTTCTTAGTGATTCACGTGTTGTTATTCTGCAGTTTGCTTCAATCAGTACTTTTATTTTGTTTTCATTGGCTTCAACTGGCAATCCAGAACATGGTGCATCTTCAATATTGAAATTGCCAAAACAAAATTTTGTAAACCAGTTTTGGCACTGTCATTCTGTCAATACATCATCTTCATACATGTCACACAATTTTTTTCTTACTTGAACAGCATTCTTACCTTTACGGTAATAAAAGAGTAAAATATGCCAAAAATGCTGCTTTTGACCTTCCATATTTGATGGGACACAAAAAATAAACTATTGCACAAAATCAAACAAAATTTTTTACATATAAGCCTTAAAATGCTAGCTACCAAAATATATAATGCTAATGTGGTTTAGAATGAAAATGGCAGGAAAAATACAACTAATCCGTCTAGTGATAAAAAAAAAAACAAAATTACTTTCCAAACAACCCAATAAATTTAGAGTATTCTGGAAGAAAAGATCAGCATAGAGCAGTACTCAAACCTGCAACTCTTGCTTGTTGTGTAATATGCTGCAGTTACACTACTTGATCCTATCTGATCTTCACTTCCAAAACTAGTAATTATTTAACTAATTTAGATATAACCATACTAGTCACTCATTGTTAATAATATAAAGTATTTTTACCTTTCCTAATTCTTTATCATCTAAACTCAATAAACCTGGGCTCTCTGTATATAATTTTATTTTAACTATAGGTAAAGGATGTGTGGTGGTGAAATCCCCTTGTGTATCCCACCTGTAAAAAGAAATATTCATTCAAATATATGTATATATTTATTATATGACATAAAATCAAAATTATTGCAATTCTTATTCTTAAATTTAATTCTTAAGATACATTGATGCATTTCTTTACAGTTAATATTGTATATAAATATGATTTGGATTTTAAAAAATTGTTCTCCTAAAATTTTAACCATAAAATAATGATTCTATAAATCACAGAAAAAGACAAACCAGTAATCATAATAACTTTTCATTCATATTACAAGCACTTCACTGTAGAAAAAATTAGTGAAGCAATGCTCTAATAAAATGGTCTTGAATATTCTATTTGTATTACTTGACCATTTTACTTAGAACAGTGAAAGTAGGTATAAGTATCTACAGTTTATTTTCAATTATTTTTCTTCATGTTTAGTTATATGAGCAAAAAATCATTTTTATTGAGATTGTCTAAAATTTCCCTTCTAGTATAGAATGACAATTTGTTGGTTGATAATATACAAAAATTGAATAATTATGCCATCTATTTTAAGATTAATTTATAAAAAATGTTCAAATAAAAACTGTTGATATAACTGATTAATGAAAACTAGAAACTTCTTAAAAATATATTATCACCAAAAGTCAGAATTTTATTTATTTTTCATTTAATGAATTTTAAAGAAAACAATACAGTTGTCAATAACTTAAAAATAAATAAAGATAACTAAGATAATTTTATTCTCAGTCTATATTTTCAGCATAATACTGTTTATTTTAAAAACAAATATCTCAATATAGAGTAAGCTTGCAAATAAACAGATTAAAGAAAAATTAATATATGACAGATTAAGCAATCTATTAAATTTGGTTTATCAAATATATTAAAATTGAAGAATGTTCTTCTGATAAAATATCTGACTATACAATTTGGTTATTAGATTAAGTGTAAAACATGAATAAGAGTGAAATATTAAACAATAATAATGAGATTTAACTTTGAGCATTTTTGATAAATTGGTCAATGTTTTTGTTTTGAATACATATACAGTAGAGCCTTGATTATCTGACTCAATTGGGGACGGGTTGGTCGAATAATTGAAAAGTCGGATAACCGAAAAGTATGAAAAAATCCATTATTAGTGTAGTATATTATTATATCCCATGTAATTAGTATATTAGTATATCGCTATTAACCTACTTCGCGTTGAATTTTCATCGATGTTAAACGTAACAAAAATTTTTAAAAATAATAATAGTCGCTATTCTATCGTTAAAAATTAGAAAATTAAGCCTCGTTTAAATACTGGCTCCCTTTCATGGTCGAATGAGTGTTGCCAGCTAAAACACGTAAAAATAATATTAAAGTAGCCAAGGCATAGCCAAATATTGTAGCGCCACATCACTAGCGGACATTTGAAATTTGCTGACTAGGACGGTCAGTTAACCGAGGTGTCGGTTAATCGGGGGTCAGATAATCGAGGCTCTACTGTATCCTGTCAAGTAATACAGTCAAATCTTGTTTATACACTTTTGAAGAGAACTGAGGAAAATATCATAAAAGTGAGAAAATATACAAATGAAACTACTTTTGATTGTTTTCAGATAAATACAATCATCAAACATGCAATTAGGTTTTATTATTATTTTTAACTCTCTCTGTCCTACGGGCACTAAGAGGGACTCTTTTAGCAAGCCCATTATGGGTTCAGCCAGGCCCTCAATGGGAAGCCCAAGTAGATTAGGGATGTGCCTGACATATCTGGATGAACCACTCCCCCCTTGAAAAATTCCTGGAGATTTTTCAACCTGTCTGAATTCAATCCTGGGTCTCTGAGAGCAGTAGGCTGCCACATTGATTGCTCAGAAATCCAGCCATCTATCAATTGTGACATTGTCACAATGTTGGGTTACAGCTTTTCATTACAATGTTCTCAATTTTAGTAGTGCCTTGCACCTGTACATTATACTTTTCCCATTAACAATAGTCATGCCAGTCATCTAACACTGTTCAGAGGTAAATTTTTGAATTGAAGTAACATGACTTCTTTTGCAAACAGAAAATTTGTATATAGTTAATCAGGCCTCTGGCTTGTAAGCTTTCCATTTATGGTCTCAACTTTCATCTATTGAATTCCATTCTCAAGAGTAAGGAAAAACAGAGACAAACAGATGGATGCCAGTGGGAATTTATAGGTCTACAATTTTTGAAAAGTATGGAAAGCAGCCCAAAAAGCATGGAATGGCACAAATTAACACTGTACAACTGAATTTGTATGTGTAATTCTTAAAAACGAATTTTCACTTTATTATATTTATAATACATTTGAACAATATATAAAAAGAAAAGGGTAGAATTGTGTAAAATTATATCATATACTTTTAAGAAATTGACCAAGTTTTGTTTGTTTGTTATTTTTTTTAATAGACAGCACCAGTATGTGACAAGTTTATTAAAAAAAATAACTTCTGATGAAACTCCAGTCAAGTAAAAGAATAAAAAGTGACATTCTAAAGATTAACTCATGCTGAAAGTGAACAGTGAAAACAAATGAGAAACCATAAAGTGAATTCACTTAGTAAAATTAGTTCACATTACAAAACCTGAAAAAATAAACATTTTCAATGTTTTGGACTGGAGAAGAGATTTGCTAAATGAAAAATTCATTCAAAACAGCATTATGTTTCATATTATTCACTCGTCATATGATGTTGATTTGTTGTCAATGTGGACTAACCTTAAGTGAATACATAATATGTTTTTTCATTTTTTTAATAATCACTTTTTTCCATTTCAAAGTAAATAATGATGTAGCCACACAGGAGTAATGTTTCCAACACTAACATTCACTTCTCTTTTGTCCCTTGCTCTCTGCTAGCACAAGTTTAAAAGCATAGAGTATAAAAAATAGCAATAAGTAGTTAATTACTAAATGGCCAACTGCTTATTACTATTTTTATATGCAAATCAGACTACATGAACAACCATGAGGTAAAGAAGAGTAAAATTTAATACTTGTTTTGGCCCCTTCTTTTTTCATTTAGCATTATCATGCATAACACTGGTTTGCATACGACATGCAAGGAGCTGCTCATACTGATATAGCAACTCCTTGCATAATAATGCATTGCTAAAGATCTTATAGTATTGAGTTTTTATAGTAGCCTGCCTACCTATATAAGCCTGCATAGGCTTATATAGGTAGGCAGCCAACAATGTGGACCCAAGCTCAGAAATCTCTAGTTATATCCTTGCTAATAATACTTTTTGTTTATTTTACTATCAAAATACGTTGTCTACTAAACTTTGAAATCACATATAATGTGTAAGGGAAAAAAAAAGTACTGTAGGATGCTGAGAAATATGACATATAAGTGTGAAATCATATAAATGAAAAATGTATAACTTAAGTGTTTTATAATGGAGAAAAAATACCATGCAAAAAGTATTTAATGCATAATTGCAAACAGTGTATAGTAAAACTGAGAAACATATATAAATTGGGTTTGACTATATAATTGAATGTGTACACAGATACATATGTGGGTCATTCAATAAGTCCTTAGAAAATCCAATAGATGACACTCGTAGCCTCAAAAATGGTGCATTTTTAGTAAGCATCATGACTCACTAGACAGTTGTGAAAGACTCAGTCATATCCATCACATGGTTTAATTTTTATTGTCAATTGAAGAAAAACTTGTTTATTTAGAAAAATGGAAAAAGTGAGTTTCAAGTGGTGATTAAACACTTATATTTAAAAGGCTTAACACCAAAAGAGATCAAAGCTGAGTTAGATGAAGTTCATGGCACATCTGCTCCTGTGTTTGCAACTGTTTACAATTAGGTAAATGAGTTCAAACACGGCCGTACATCCACAAAAGATGAACATTGTTCGGGACATCCAGTGGAAGTGACTATTCCCAAAATGATTGACAAAATCCATGATATGGTTTTGAGTGATCGACGAATCAAAGTGCGCAAAATAGTTGAGGCCACAGGCATATTGCAAGGTACAGTGTTTTCAATTTTGCACAAAAAATTGGGCGTGAAAAAAATCTTGGCAAGATGGGTGCCGTGTTTGCTCTCAGTGGAGAATAAACGTAATCGTGTGGTCGACTTTGAGGCTATTTTGGCACTTTTTCGTTGCATTCCTGATGAGTTTCTGCATCGATACATAACTGTGGATGAAACATATCCATGTTTCGTCCACAGTTATTCCAGAGACAAAAGAACACTACTATACTCCAGAGACAAAAGAACAGTCAAAACAGTGGGGTTTTGAAGGCAAAAGGACTCCAAAGAAAGTGAAGACAGTGAAATTGGCCAGGAAGGTGATGGCCACGGTTTTTTGGGATACACGCGGAATTATCTACATTAATTACTTGGAAAAAGGAAAACAATAAATGGAGAGTATTATGCGTTGTTATTGCACCGATTGAGCAAAGAAATCAAAGAAAAACGTCCTCATTTGAAAAAGAAAAAGATCCTCTTCCATCAAGACAATGCATGGGTGCACACCTGTGCAGTTTCGATGGCCAAAATCATGGAATTAAAGTTTGAATTATTACAACATCCATCATTTCACCAGATTTGGCCCCCAGTGACTTTTTTTATTTCCGAACTTAAAAAATGGCTCGGCGGACAACGATTCACGTCAAACGAGATGGTCATTGCCCAAAGAGATGCCTATTTTGAGGACCTTCCAAAATCTTACTTTTTAGATGGCTTAAGAAAGTTGGAGAAACGCTTGGAAAAGTTGGAGAAATGCTTGGTTAAAGGAGATTATGTTAAAAAATAAAAAAAAATCTACCTAAAGTAACTTGTTTTTCTATCTTTTTCTAAGGATTTATTGAACGACCCTCATATATAAGTGCTGTATATATAAGCATAAAATAGAAATTTTAAAATTATTTTTTAGATTTAAAATTAAGGTTTTATAATATTTATTTATGGAAAAAAAAAATGTAATTTAAAATTCCTTACATGGGTTTTGATGCTTCAGCATGATCTGTTTGCAACTTCTCACCACCTTCAACTTCCATTGTACAATATACAATTCTATTTGGTGCTAATGATTTTAATCCTTTTACTTCCATTACTACAACCTGATTAAAAATTTTTTTATTTAACAATGATTAACAATTTATCGAATTTCTATATTAAACAAAACATACTTACTTCTAAAGTAAAAGATAATACTATATCAAGTTTTGATAACATTGTTTCACCATCTTCACTAAGACCCTCTTTTGATAAAGATGATTGACTTCTACATATATGAAAAAATATATGAACTATTGGATATTATTATGTGCTCATTATAGTAATTCAGAAAGAAAATATAATCTTCCAGTAATTTACAAATAAATTATAAAGCAAATATCTGTTTAAAAATTTTCTTTGGGCTAAATCACCTGATGCAGATTCTCCGCGACTTACGAATGGAGAAATTTTCCCTGTTCCTATCCCATGTTCTATATCGTCANTATTTTAGAGTGAAAATGAGTTTCTTAATAATTATAATCCAAATATTTTTAAGTTTTTTGTTTTTTTGTCGTATCATTACTACCAACAGTGATAGATTAAGACCTTCCAGAGCCCCTAGACACAAGATTGGGGCCTCCCTATATAACTTTACATCAAATTAATAATGTACAGTATAATTGTAATTACAGAATTATTTATAAATTATGATATACGGTTTGTTATAAATATTAGTTTTATATATAATTAGCTATTTATTTAAGAAATAAGCAGAACTATTTTTATGTAGTTTATTGGCATCATTTGCAGAATCTTTGTACTGTTAATATAATGAGGAGTTCAACTGAAAAAGCCTTGTGTGGCATATTATTATACATTTTATATGTACTTTCTATTCCTTTGACTTTCTTTTTCTTTGTTTGGTGTTGGTCTGGCTAGAGTGGTTGGACTTTGTCTATGAACTTGCAGTTGGACACATCTTTTTTAATAGAAATATGTACATCAGTGGTGAAAAACAATGTTGACTGGAAAAGAACTGTTTTTAAGAAAGACACAAGGAAGAATATTGTGCTTTTTGCATTGTTTGGTGGAAGAGTCATCATGAGAGAAAAAAAGGACAAAAATGAAAAACAACAGCTCAAAAAGGAAGAGAGATTAGAATAAAAAAACGAAGCATTTCATAAAGAGTTTGGACAATATGTTATTTGATGTCTAACATAAACTAGAACTTACATTTGGCAGAAAGTCAGTGTGACCAGTGCAAGTAGCTAACCAAGCCCATAAGTTTCTTTCTTTTTCTTCTTTCACTACCATCTTACTTATTTAGGTCTAGTTTGTAAGTTGAATTTATAAATTGGAAATCTGTAGTCATCTTGTGACAAAATTTATCAGGTTATGCATTTTGTGTTAAACCCAAATAATTTATTGTAAGTTTTTCTTTAATATAAAATTCTCCATGTTATTTTCTGTTTTTATTTATTTTTATCTGAGTTATAGGCACCTTAACTGTTTTGCTCTGTACTTGTTCCAATATTAGATGAAAATGTTTTATATATTTTATTGAACATATTTATTCTAGTTTAAAGTTGCTATTAAATTATATAACTAAGTTAGTTTAGTTTTATATTATCATAACATATAAAAATCTCAAATTCCTTTAAACTTTTTTTTTATTAAATACTAATAGTTAGTAACATATCACTTCTCTTCCCATTAGTCATAATAATAGCTAATGTATTGTTAAAAAATTTATTAATAAATTAATGAAAAATGCTTAAATGGAGCAAAACCAACAACCAAACATACTGAGAAGCTTACTAACAGTTTTGGGTGATTAGCTCATCTTTAGGCCACAAATGTTCCAAAAAATTGTCATGATAACCATTTCCCTCCCATTTATGCAGTAAAAAAAAAAAGGAAGTGTTGTAGCTTTTTACAAATCTATGTAGTTGTTTGTTTTGTTCCATTAACAGTATTTTTAGTTAAATTATAATAAATGAGTAATGGTTTTTGTTTTAATTTATTAATGATTAGCCAGCTACATTATCAAAAGATTTAAAAGTCAATTGCCAGATGACAGATTTAAACTGTTGATATTCTGTAAATATAAATGTTTTAATATTCTGACCACTTAAGTCAGTCTAGTTCTTCAATTGTCTACAGTTTATTTGTATTTATAAAGATGCAAATTAAAAGCTCAAGCTTTTTATATCATTTTACAGAAATATCTAAAAACAATTAATTTATTAAAATTGTAAAATTTCATAATAGATTATAAAAAAAATTTTATATTTTGTATATACTGTTTTTGTTATTAAAGTTATAATATATTTGTTATTAACAAATGGGGCTTGCTGCAATCAGCTGTAAAATAATCATAACTTAAATAGGTTACTTTATTAAATAAAACAAACAGATAAACAGATAAATGGTGTTTCTATACATTTTTAGATGGATCACATTAGAAAAATATTTATTGTAATTCAAATTACTCTGAAGATAGATTTTTGCACCTGAAAACATTGAATAACTATGATCATCTAAGATTTTGATCCAATGAAACAACCTACTATTAATTTTTTCTAGAACTGATTTGAATGTTTTATGAATGTGTATGCCATATCTCTAATGAACTAGAATTACAGAAAAATCAAACAACATAGAAGTTCCAAATCGTTAGAAAAGTGTGATTCCATATTAGAACACCAGCCTGACAATGTCCTTTAAAAATGGGACGAAAACATTTGCTTTCCAAGTGAGTGTTTTTTTGCTGGTTATTGAGTTACAAGTTTTATTGATATTAACTAGTAAACTATTGTTGTTTTTTTTAGTATTTTAATTTAATAATACACTAATCTAGATACAGACTAAACTCTGTATATTTATAATGATAACATCACAAAGAAAACAGAATAAATTTAAAACCAACAAGAATTTTAAATATTTCTATAACTTAAACATCACAAAATATAAAAAATAAGAATGACGATTTTATGCAACAATTCAGTTTTCAAATGATGTCAGCAAAATATTTTAGAGTGAAAATGAGTTTCTTAATAATTATAATCCACGTATCATTACTACCAACAGTGATAGATTAAGACCTTCCAGAGCCCCTAGACACAAGATTGGGGCCTCCCTATATAACTTTACATCAAATTAATAATGTACAGTATAATTGTAATTACAGAATTATTTATAAATTATGATATACAATTGCAATGGTAAAATTGCTTTATTTTTCTCCAGTTTTGGGGTCTTTGAGACCTGGGTCCTAAGCCTGTGCCTTGTGGGTAACTAACAAAATTATTATGAAATTATTATAGATTTTCAAAAATGTAACTTAAGAAAGTTCTATTAATAATCTTGAAATAAAAAATAAATCAAAAAGTAAGTAAAATTTCAAGAAAATGTAAAAATTATCTTAATTATTATTTTATCATTTATATAATATTATTTTCAACCTATATTTACTTATAGTTTAGTATAATATCAACATACACTATGATAATTTACAAATATGAAAGCATATCAGTTCTTTTGTGTTAATTAACAGCTTTATTAAGAAACAAATGCATGACACAAAGATGTCTTCATCAGGTAACTTACAAAGAATGAAATGGCTTTAGAACTTTTTAGAGCATATTTTAAATGAACTATATCCATATGCAAGAGAAATTTAGAACTTTTTAAAAATATATTTAATATGAAAAGTGAAAGTAAATAACAACTAGAATTACAGAAATTAAAATCTTATCTTTATTGATACTGTATTTTCCTGTTGTTTTTTTTTCTTGTTGGCTTTAACACATTACAAGCAATGTTTTACTTTTCATAATTTTGGATGTTGTTCATTTTTTGCTTTGCACATTAAATACATTAAAAAAATGTTCTAAAATTCTCTTGCACATTAATATGGCCATTTAAAATTATTTTGTTCTTTGTAAGTTACTTGATGAAGACATTCTTGTATGTGTTGAAAACATTTGTTTCTTAATAAAATTTTTAATTAACACCAAAAAAGTGATAAGCTTTTGTGTTTTTTACTAATAGTTTCAAAACAGAATTACTTGAATATATAAATATAAATAACACTGCTTAATCTTACTAGTTATAGTAAAAATTTATAAAATGTAAAAACACTAGATGACAAATAACATTACAAAATTAATGACAACTGTCTATTAGCATTACAGAAAAGATTTATTTATGCAAGTACTTTCAACAGCATATAACTGTCCTCTTCAGGTAATATTATCATTCACAGAAAACAGAATATATTCCATTTTTCAAATACTGGAAAACAGTAAAGAACATTTTTCAAAATTATTCCTCAGGCACAAGCATGGAACATAATTGAAATATATAAAATTACAAAATTTTTAACAACCAGAGTACACAATGAAATACAACTAATAAATATTGCTAAACTAAAATACAAAAGTAAATTAATACAAAACAGTGCCATTAATGAAGTGAAATGCTTTTTGTCATGAAATATGCAACTTACAACTTTAGAAGCTTAAATAGTGCTAACCACAGTTCCAAGCATGGGGGATTTGCATAGCAACATTGATGCAATGAAAAGAGACTCCCAGATAAATTGTGTCTTTGGTCCCCACAATGTCTTGGAAGCAAAATTTGTGACCAAAGCATATGGAATTTACCCTCTATTTCTTGTTTAGCTAGCTCTGTTGTACACCTATTATGCACATTTGCTCTCAGATAGAATGAGTCAATGAATCTGGACAGTTGAAACATCCAGAAATTTTTCGGAAGTGGTCTGTCCAGATACATTGGTTGCCTCATGCAGACCTGAAAAAAGGCTATCTTAGTACATAGAAGGCAGAAAGAATAAAACTAAACTAATTGTTTATAATATTTAGATTTTAATTTAAAAATTATAGTTTTCATATTGACTGTAGATATTTTCAAATTTTACTTTAATTTAGAATTTAAAATATTTAATGGTAAGCCATAGCTTTCTATGGGAAAGAATATGTACAGTATTAGATTAGATACATCAGAATAGATTATGCCTCTGAGGAGTCCACTACTATCTTTAACACAGGCATTGAAAAATTAAAATAAAGGACTTCCTGACAACCCTAGAGTTAGTTCACCTGATGATTTTTAATTATTTTTCAGAGGTCAGTAATTTGAATTTGTCATCTGGTAATTACTTTTTATCATTTTTGCCAAAATAAAAATAATTCATTTAATATAAAACTAACCCTAATATTAAAATAAAAAATTTATTAATAGCTTTTATTGAGGTCTGTCTTTGATATATTTCTAACAAGTAGTTAAATATAAAAGTAATTTAATATCATAAACTGGAAAATTTGACAGATAATTTAAATTACATATATTAATGTAAAATAAACATTAAAAACATCATTTCATGTTAACTTAAATTTGACAATACTATACAATACTATCATATTTTTCATAATTTATCACTATAACCAAAATAGAGCTTAATTAGTTTTATGAATTCCTAAACTGATTAAGCATATTTAATTCTTTTATGATCTAAGATAATGAATGATGAAATATAACTTCAATTGAATAAAAGATTACTTGTCTCTCATATTCCTAAAGAATAAGAAAAATCACAATCATCTAAACTTATTATTATAGATTAGGACAACATATACGTGATCTACAATGGAATGAAATATTTGTTTAGTAATCAAATAAAAATAATAAACACTTCTAATAAATTGTTTCCACATCTTATTTATTTGTAATTTCTATTTAGAAAAAAATGAATACATTATTAAGTTCTTTATATATATATAAAAATTAATTATATTTGTCATATATTATAATCAATTTTATTATAAGCACAAATAGTAAGAAGATATGAAATTAAATATATTCATTTTGAACATTAAAGAATCAAAATCATTCTGTTAAACTATATTATATTGTTAAAAATTTCAATTTAATATTTAAACAAATAAATTGACCCATAAATTTATTTTGAGAGACACAATATGAATAAATTAACCTAAAATAATTAATTATATTTTATCCAATGTTTATTTATATTTACTTATTATAAAAATAATACACAAGTCTTCATGAAAAGTGATGCATGAAATATTAATGGACCCCAACTAAAAAATCATATTGGTTGCATAAATATAGCAATATTTCAGCAAAAACTTCAACCATAATAACTAAAATTTTTTCAATAAATTTTTAAATTAAACAAAATATAATTAAATGAAAATGTTAAAGGAAAAGAAATCTAAAAAAATAGGGAAGTGTAAGAAATTAGCAGAACTTTTGCATGCGTAAAAAATATTAAAAAAAAATTTGCATACATGGATGTAAAAGCAATCATCAAAGCTTCATAAATGATAATCCATATTGGAGCTTGGAGATAAGATGATGCTTTATGCAGGCTATTTTCAGGAAAGAAATTGGCAGATGCTGATAGTAAGCTGAAAAGTGATTTTATGAAACAAAAAATAAAAATAAAATGAAAATAATAGTTGAAAATAAAAAATTATTCTAAAATATTTTAAGAACAAATCATAAGTGAATCTCTAATAATTAAACTGCAGTGTTTCAAATTAAAAATATAATAACTAGTACTTAATTGCTAAATACTACAAGTTTGTACTACAATAAAATAATATATACATTTCATATCTACATTTTAATAATTGATAATTTAATTCATTATCATGCATAATTAAATCTACAAAAATTATATTAAAAATACATGCAAAAAATCAATAAGAAAAGCAAAGAGTTCACCATCAACTCTGGGGTCTACCTGCCTTAGAACAGATGATCTGCGCCGACTACGTGAACAGGCAGCATGAAGGAAAAGGATAAGATTATGAACACATTACATTGTTTTTTTTATTGAGGCCCAATCTAATTTATTTTGTAACATATAAACTTGTAGCATAATATAGAATAAGGAAAATTTTAAGAGATGAATAGTATCAAGATGTAACCCACAATTCCATGCATCAACAAACATTTGAGAATTAGCACAGAGGATAAAATTTTAACTGATATAAATGAATAGCAAACACCATCAAAAACATTTTAAGCATTGAAACCACCATAGATGCATGCAAAGAATGCAAAATAAAGCAAAAATCATTTACCTTTGTCGACTAAGGCAGCAGCATAAAATAAAAAAATTATAATTAGAATTTTTAAATTTGTATTATGTGTAGCCGCTTTTAATGATATAAATTTAACCTATTGGCATACTTCTAAGACAATCTGACTGTAGTTCTCATTTATGATCTATGATTTAGTTATTGTTTCAATTGGTTTATTTATCATTTGTTTAAATTTTCATTTTATAATCTTTTATTGTAATATGCATAGAAAAATATTCAAAACAAATACTTATTTCAAAATCAATTTTTGAAAGAATGTTCCTTATAAATCAAGCATAACTTATGCTGAATTCATAAGATGTGTTCATTGCCATATTCCAGTTTAAATAAATAGTAAGAAACATTAATCTTTAACAGTAATTTAAAATTTTTTAAATTTTTATAATGACAACAATATAATTATAGTTTGTTCTAGATTTTTATTTCTTATTTTTCAGCATTTTAAAAATTAAGATGACAGTAAGCCAATGGGTCAAACATTCTAATTATTTATATTAAATAATATTTTAAAAGCAAATAAAAACAATAATTAAATATTAGATTACAAAAATGATAACAAATAAATAAAACTTTTATATTTAATAAAAATTAAATTTTTTTTATTAAAATAAATCAGCATTATCAAAACAAATAATTTTCATAACACAAATAATAATGATTTGAAAGTTTTATACGGTAATCTTACTTATTACTCAGCATAATCCTGATTTTCTAAATAATTAATATTTCATAATTATGATTTCAAGCAAATATCAAAGAATAAATTTAACACCAGCATATAGAATGATAATCTACTCTTTTATTTTTTAAGCTTTGGCATTGTATAGATTATGGTATACTAAGAAAAAGAATTTAACAACCAACAATTATCAAAGATAAATACTGAATAATATCAATATATCTCACAAGTAAAATAGAAGATACTTTTATTGTTAATTAACTTTGGTCAAAGTAATAATATATAAAAAATATATAAACACAGAAATTATAAAGTTTACAAGTACAGCACATTCAAAAAGTTAAAAATGATTACTGTCAGGAAAAATCTTTTGAATTTTGCTTGATGATGATAACATTATTACTTCAATTAAAGTTAATTAACATCAAAAGACAATCTGCTACCTTAATTGTTAGTAATTATTGAGAGAAATAGTTTTAAATTTTACAAACAATGAAAAATTATAATTGGATATTAAAGTATAAAACATAAATGATGATCAGAATGTAATAATTCATGCATTTATATACTTTAAGTAATAAATTATCAGTTTTTCATGAGTCTTAATTTATTATCCATCTCTATAGAATAAATAAGATTAATATTCAAAGTAGTACTAATTTAATATATGGAAGAATTATATAAATAAACTTGCTATTTTAATTTTTTAAAGTTTGCAAAGTAACAAACAATGAATGAAGACTACATGAAATTTAAATAATACATGAAAAAGTTAAAAGAATAAATAATTAATCCATATTATTTACTCTTTTAACACAAATTAGACTAACTAGAGAAGGCTATGAAACATATATCATAGAATTGGATCAGACTTTGCATGGCTATTTTGGCACTAAAAAGTATCCTTAGTAAGGCCTAAGTTCCACTTATGCATTTTACTAAAGAAAGTCAAGATTTAGATCATGATGACAAATTGCTTTCAAGCCTAGAGAATCAGTGGATATTAAAAAAAAACAAGTAATTTCCATTAATGTGCAGTACATTATATCCAAAAACTGACAGTTTTTTGAGAAAACTAGCAATTCTCAATTTCAACAAACTTAAAATATCCCAAACCTTTGAGAGTTGGCAGGCAGTGAGAATTGTTACAGGAGATAGATTGCTTGCACATAAATTCTATATTTGTGTGTTCGTGTCTGCTGAAACTTTTTGTCTTTTTTTAATTTGATATTCAAAATATCTGGATCCATAGTTACAATAAATTAAATAACATCTTTACAGTTACATATTTTTACATCTCCAGCAATTTATTTTTATCATTGCTAAGATTTTAAAAATTTTATGTTCTTATTCTAAAATCATTAGAATCTTTGAAGTAGTTCTATTAGTCTGAAGAAAACTTTTAAATAAGGTTGAAAATGTAAGTGTTGATGACAATAATTTGCTGGGATAAAAGTGTTGCGTAACTTATTTTTTAATTTGGTTACTTTTTTATTTCTCATTATGAACTATAATGATTTTCAAGCTCTGGTAAGTGAAAACATAATATAGAATCTGTGGTTGAGTGCTTCTACCTCATGCTCCAAGATATGACTGTTGTGACAAAAGTATTTTGGCAGTTAAAAATTGCTTAAGTTACTTTTTGTTTATACAGTATATCAACTATAAGAATCTAATCATAGAAAGGATTATTTTTCATTTTTTAAAATGTACATTTTAATGTTTATTCTGTTTTTTTTTAGAAATTTATATTCAGATAGAAATTAAAAATAGAATGTTTTTAAACTCAATAAATCAATTAATTTATTGAATTTAAAAACATTCTAGACTTTTCTAATCATTCATTTCATTTAAAGTTTTTTATTTTTTGAAGCTGAATCATCATAAATGCAAAAATATAGTATTTAAGAATAAAATTCTTTGGTTCATTCTTTAATTAAGCAATTTTGATTATTTATTCAGAATTAATAAGATAAAAAGCTTTTATATTGAAAGAAAATAAAGTTATATGAAAGACTGAATTTATTATTTGGTATGTTTTATCATATAATTGAACTCATATATACATATTACATTATTAAACTTTAACATATTATTTTTAAAAATTACTTTATATAGACATAATAAGGATTGCCATTAAGAATATTCTAAGACTTTTATAAATAATTCTAATAAACTTAATATAATGTAAATATAATAAACTTATTTTGTGTGTTATTTGAATATACAGTGGGTGATTGGTTAATGAACATAATCCGTTCCAAGACTTTGTTCGCTATCTGAATTGTTCGTTAACTGATTATCGATTTACCATAGGTTTTAATGGGAATTTAATTAATTGTTCTGGAGATCCCCAAAATAAAAAATATATACTTTCTTACTATATTTATATGTAATAATAAAAATACATACATACACAGTCTTGAGTTTTTATTAGTCATGTTTTTTCCGTTTGAAAGGGTTAAAGAATCTATCTAATGTCGATTGCTTTTCTCTCTTCTTCAGGATTTTTCGTAAGTAATTAATAGAATTGCAATTGTAGAAATCCCCAAGCCTCAACCTGGTTCGAATGCCATTCTAAGACCATTGTTCTGACATCCTCTCACTTCAAAGGATCTTTAATAACAGATATCAGCATTAATCCTCTTTTTCAGAAGAAGAAAACATATCTCGCCAAGTTTCCTGGTGTTCTTCAATCAAGAGTTCTTGGCGTTCTTCTGTCATCAGATCCGTTTCAGGTTCCATTATGAACTCTTTGATGTTCTTTATTTCTCAGATGTGATTTTTGTTACTCCTTTAGCCACTTGAGTCTTCTTGATTATATAGTATTTTTCTTAAATAAGATTGAACTGTGTAGACCTGTTCACACCATACTACCCAGAAACATGGAACATCTGTCCACTCTCTAACTTTGCTATTATACTCACACCTTTCGAAAATAAAAACAGATGCAATACTTAACGAGTGCCTACCCGACAGTCTCGCAAATACATAAAAAAATTGTTTTGTCAGAAAAATAAAAGGCTGGAATTTCAAGGGAGAGTTTCAAAGTTTGGAGTAATACTACCCGATCAGTATATACCAGCTTGAGCATCGATGTCGACGTCTCCCACACTCCGAAAAGTTTTGAATTGTTTCCCGAAGACAAGGGAAGACAATTGGTATTCATTATTTTACATCGCTTCTTCTTGTGTTCGTTATCCGATCATGTGTTCATTGTCCGAACATAAAAATCTTTCGCAAAAGTGTTTGTTATCCGATTTGTTCGTTAACCGATCACCCACTGTATTTCAAATCAAACATAAATTCACATTTGAAAAAATAATTTAAAATAAATTTTAAAAAATTTTCTTAAACAGAGATGATGAATCTTTATAAGATACCAATACTGTGTGAATATTTACTAAAAAAATTTATTATAGATATTTTAATATTTACACTAAATTTATAAGGGAAAATTAATACAGTGTATAGTATATGTCCTTATTAAGTTACTGTAGTAAGAGTACTTTGTATAACTAAATAATATATATTAAGTATATTAATATTTTATTACTACAATTATTTTTGAAAATACTTAAATTATTGATAACTATTATGTTTAATACAGAAAAAAATTTATAACTGTATTTCATGGATACCAATAACAAGCTTTAAGATCATATGGATAACTATGTAAAATTTAAATATGCTTATGAAAACATAAGTATTTAAATATATGATATAATCAATCTTTATAAGAAACTATTAAAAATGATGTAATAACATTATGTGATTCAATGAAATCACATTCATATTGGTCAAAATCTAATTTATAAATAATAAAGACTATGCATATATATTAAAATTTTGATTCACGAGACTAAGAGTAATAGATAATTACTTTAGTCTCGTATTGCATTACAATGAATCTGCATAATTGTCAAATGATTGTAAACTATAATTTGTGTAAATGTTGAGTTTAAAACAAAAGTATAGGTAACCTTCAATATATGCAATTAATTGGATTCCAAAAATATACAGCATATATCAAAAATACAATTGAAATTGCACATACAGTATTGAAGTTAACAATCAACGAGAAGAGAATTAATTTATGAATTAGGTCTTTAAGAATATATCTGAAATTATTTCTACATTTATATTCACTTGAGTAGAGTAAAAATATGGGAATGAAGAAATGTTTATTGAAGAATTATTAATTAATTAATTAAAGATTTTAGACAGAGTACAGTACATATAAAAATTAAAACAAATTATGGAAAATAACATTAAAAATTGATTAGTGTATGTTTAGACCAACAATTACAGTAGCCAATAAATAAATAAATAAATAAAACATGAAATAAAAAATTTTAAAAACCAAACAAAATATTTATCAAGTGTTGCCTGCACAGTTGATACATTTTTTTTTCTTTTTGTAGTGTTTCCTGAAAAAGCTAAAGAATTAAAACAGAAATTACACTATCCAAATAAGATCACTGCACTAGGAAAATTAAGTTTCACTTTTTCCAACTAACTAATAGTGAGCAGGAGTGATGAGAAGGGATTGGTTCAGCATTACAAGCTCTTAGCTCTGTCAAGCTGGAAACATTGAAATTACAGTAATACTCCAAGTTACATAACACACGACTTACATAAATTACAGTTACGTAAAATGTAAATGTCAAAAATTGGAAAAAAATCTGAGTAAAGTAGCATGTAATTTTACAAAGAATTATTCTATTTCAAACATTCATTCATTCATTCTCTCTCTCTCAGAAATATCTCAAGTATTCAAAGGTATCTTCCTTTCTTTCTTTCACACTGTACCAATTTATTACTTTATTGAACTGCTAATCCTTTACTTTTTGATCTAATTGTAAACATGTACGCAAGCATACTAGACATTCTTTCTTGTAAACAATTCTGTTATACAAAAAAACAATAAATAATATATGTACAGTACACATAAATACAATATTGAGTTATTAATTATGTAGTTACACTTATGCAATTTACAAATTTGACTTGACTAACATAAAATTTGAGTTACGTAAAGGTCTAGGTCTGCATTACTTATGTAACTTGGGGCTTTACTGTATCTCAGAACAGACTCGTATTAACCGAAACATTGCACTAATAAAAATTGCATATATCAAGGTTTACTGTAATCAATAATTTTATTGCTTAAAATATATAATAACAATAATAAAACATAATTCATAAAAGTATTGCATTACAATGAATCTGCAATACCAAAATTCAACTTTTTCTCAAACAGCAATGACCTTTAATTTTAGACTATTTAACTATTCTAAAATATTTAAGTCTTCAAAAATATAATGATTAAAGGAACACAGAGGATTTACGGAAGAGTGTAAAAAACATAGCACTTAGAAAGGTAGCAAATGAAATAGATGTTAATGTTGACTTTGGTAAGGTTGGTGTAATATTAACTATGAGAAGAGATGAGGATATTATCATTGTGCAAAAGATAAAAATTTATGAAGAAAGTTCAAGAAGAGATGTTATTAATTTTAAAGATGTGATGATCCTATTGCCAGCATGATAATGGTCAGTATAGAAGAATTAGTGAGACAAATTTGGAATACTTGAATGATTATACAAAATAATAATATTGTGTTTTTTAAATGATTTTTGAAAATTGTGTAGAAAGTGCCATTGGAGATTCATAATGCAGACATTTGAATTTAAAATTTAGAACAAATGTTTGAATTTAATGTAACATTTGATAGAAATTCAGAACTTACTAGATTTGAACCTTGATGATGGATGAGAAACATCTGAAGACACTTACAAGTTAGTTGAAAAATTAATGGTAAGCATATAGCTAATGTGATAATTGTGATAGTATGGAGTGTATTGATAGAAATAGAAATTAACAATGTTAGAATTTAAAACATTCATACAAAAGCGCAATCATTAATAATTTAGTCAAGAACATTTATTTTTATTATCACAAATCAACTTATTTTTTTATATTAGATATTGTATTTAGATTGTACATTTCATGAAACTAAAAAGAATCTATTTAAATAATAAAAAAACAAATAAAATAGTATGTTTCATTGGAAATTAATGGCATTATTAACACAAGTATTCAATATTACAGATCACTTAGTCAAATTACTAATAAGAGAATTAATAAATGTTAAAAATATATATGTATTTTGCAAAAAGGAAGAAAAAAAAGACAAAGATCATTAGCATTGTAAAATATAATTCTATGATAATAAAGTTGTTTTCATTATGACTTATTTTTATGTAGCAATGTTTGAGTAGAAATATGTTGTTTAAAAAATAGAATATTCTCATAGTGAGACAGATTAGTTTTACCCTATTGATGACTAAAACATTCTGTTTCAAAATAAATAAATCCTTACTTATTTTTAATATAACAATAAAAAATAAAAGCACAACACTAAATCAATTTTCTATATGTTTAAAATCCTTGGATTGGAAATTACCTATATATTAGCTTGTACCAAAAAATTTCAGTCACTGTTTTTTTGTAATGTTTTTTAAATACACTACCAACACCTTTAAGTTATTTTTAATATTAATTTGCATTTTTTACATAGCTCTACTCTGTTACATATTCATGCAATATATAGATTATATCTCATATAAGGCATGTTCTTGTAAAAATTTTTTAATTGTGTATAATNAAAAATAACTATACTTATAAAAATATTGAATATTACTTAATTTCTAAGAATGCCTCAAAGATGTTCAAATAGACCATATTTCATAAAGTCAAAATTCAAACTAAAAAAAACCTAATATTTATACATATATATGTAAGGACTGTTCAAAAAATATCCAGACTACTTCTATAAATTAATAATAAATATACTTACACAATACTGGTGACTTAATCTTCTCTTTAAAAGACAATATCTTTAGCCTAGTATTGTTTCCATCCTTGAAAGTATTTCTGCAAAACTGTTCCTGAATTTTATAAGTTATTTAATTTTGTATTTCTTCTTTTAAAGGAAAGAAAACTAAAAACGTCATATGAATCATATTTTTTATGACTATAAGGACTACTGCATTTGGGTTATACTGTTTTGTCAAAAAATATTATAGAACTGAGATATAAGTGGAACAATATACTGCCAAGATGAAACATCCATTCTTTAAATATTGATTTTATCTGTCTTTTTTGAACTAATCATTAGAATATCTTAAAAATCTTTTTATTAATTTTTTGATCCCTGCACATACTGTATTTACAATATTCAATGACATTTCTAAAAAATAAATAAATAAATACAAACAATACAATTGAAGAAAGAGTAGCAGATCTGTAGTATACTGCACTTTCATTGTTGAAGTGAAAACCTTTACTATCAGATACTTGCAATTTAATTAAATTGAACTCATAACAATAAATCCAGTTTTACTGAGAGAATATTTTTGGAAAATTACTGCCAGCACTTTCAGGTTCAAATAAATCAGAAGTAACTTTTAGATAATGTTTAGATTGCTTTACTGATATTTCACTGACTTATTTAATATTAACCAACAGATCAATATAATGCTGGAAATGTTGATGAGTCATGATGTATCTAAACATTGGCACTTTATTCCAACATATTGATTAATCTTATTCTTGAGCTACAATTGTAGTCCAGATACTTTTTGAACAAAATATATATATAACAAATATAACTTATATACATAAATTGTTATTATATATTTTATATTTAAACTCTTTGTTAAGCTTCTTGTTTGAAAGCAATAATTCATCATCTCACCTGTGATTATAACGTCTAAATTTTTGTAAACCATATTTACTGTCTGAAAAATTCCCTTTAGAAACAGGTAAACTTTCTAAATTAACCATTAACTGATTAATTGATGAACGTAGTTCTTCAATATAAAGACTTTCCATTTCTTTTAATACAAACTTGGGCATTAGTTTGCGATTCTATAAATTTATAAATTTAGAAATAATTAAAGTTATTTAATAAACAGTTAAGTTTCAAATATTTTCTTACAGGTAATCAGTTCCTAAATAATTTTTTTAAATTACATACTTTTTCCATTTCATTAACTTTCTGAACACGTCCATCCAACTCTCTACGAATGGCTGCTGCTTGTTCATCTGCTGAGTCTAGCTGTATTATATAAAAATAATTTAAATATTTAAATACATTGTCATAATTATTAAAGTAATTAAGAAAAATCATAATTTACTGAATGAAAATGTAAATTCAGAGAACAACAACAGAAAAGGGCAAGTGATTTCATAAACATAACCAACATATACGTATCCCTTCTACAATACAGCATTCCTACAACACAGCTTGAGAATTTAAAACATCCTCATACAAAATGCCATAATCTTACATACAACATGGATTTTAGAGTATTGAAATTTTCAATGTTGTTTCATGCGTTTTTCCTAGTTTTCTTTAATGTGAACTGAATGTATAATTTTTCTTCCTCCTTGTTTTAGCTTTCCTACAAACCAAGTGTTGCTGTCATCAATGACAGTGTGTTAAATGAACCTGAAAGAATGTCACTGTGTATTGTTTTATAGATTAAATTAAAACTTACTACATAAAATGATCTCTCTGGTAAATACAATCAAATGCAAATATCAGATTTTAGGAAATAGTAGAGAATTATTATTGATTGCTTTAATAAACATATTTCTCTTAATTTTGAAAAAGAATTTACATTTGCTTACTTTTGGAACCTAACTCTATGTTTTGTATTAGTCCTTTGTTTCACATAGCATAGATTTGCAAAACAAGGCATTTTTTCAGATCCTAACTACAATGTTATACAGGGATATCTATGCTCCAAAAGTAATCTTGTCAATTATTTATCAGTTTACCACCTTGAAGATGATCTGAAAAAGGAAGTTTGCCAATTCCTGTAAAGTTGATTCCAGGAGTTAAAAATTTTGGGAAATTTGATAATTTCTACTCTCAGTAAAATCAAATCACTGTTTTGTTTTAATTTATAACTCAAAAGTTGATCATCTTGTCAAGTAAATACAGGAAGAATAGACATCAATTTAGGAGTCCCAAGAATTTAAAAATTTTTGCTAAATTCTGGGAGTTTTCTGGTGAGTCTGAGAGAGATGGCAACCTTATCTGAAAGTACCATTGAATAGATTATTTTGAATAAGTTTATTAATAGTAGTTAGACAGACAGACACTTATGAAAAATTCACATGTGAATTTGTCATAAATGTAACTTCTTACTAATTTAATAAACAAAAATGATAGTTTAGTTAATTTGAAAAATAAAAATGCTTTTACATATATAAATATATTCCAATTTCTACATGTAGAAGTAAAATTTTACAATTATGGATAAAATTAACAATTATATATAAGAGGAAGGAAATACTATAGGAAACAAATTTTTTTTTTTTTTTTTTTTTTGTGAATTTATTAACTTCAATGCTTTTTAAGTTACAGGCAAGTTATATACTAAAGATTTACTATTATTTAAAACTGTTTTTGTGTTATTTGTCCAGCATTTTATTACAGATATCATAATTCACTATAATCTATTTTTTTCCCTTTTTATAAATTATCTATAATGACAAAAAACTCATTTAAAGTGTATATAAATTTTTGAATATTAAAACACATTCATTCTAATTTTGATTCAAGTAGAATCCAAATGCATAAGCTTTGGTAATATGCCAAATATCATCAATAAGCTTCCAGATCATACTTTTGATTTATTCACCCATTTTTATATATATGAAATTATTGACTAACTTCTGAGAAATGCAATGTTGAATAGTAAAAATGCTCAAAAAAAAAACCTTAATAATTACATTAACTGCTTTAATTTCTAACATTTTTAACCTTATTTTATGAATCTTCAAGGGAAACGTACAAATTGAACAACAGTTGCATTCAAATAAAATGATAAATTTTGAACATTCCAGAATAAACAATTTAAAATGTTAGTACTGGATCTTATAAGTTACAAAAATAAAATTTTCATAACTTATACAGAACCACTTCCAAAAGGTCTGTAAAATGTTCAGAAAGTATCTAGTAATGTGCATTTATTTTCTAAAAATATACTTATTGACTCACAATAAGTTTCACTATAGAATATAACTTGTTTTCAATACAATTGGTTTTGTACAAGTTGCTTCACAGTGTACATTTGTTCTCTAATACTGATTCATGTTTATACTTATGTATGCATTTATAATGCATCAAATACTTCACTTCAATAAGACTGAAGTGAAGTGTTTTTGAAGTACTGTACATTAGTTAAGTGTTGATCAGATATAGATAGCCCAATGCATTATTTAATGCATAAATATGTCCATATAAAAATTTTATTTTTATCTAGTTTATTTTCTGCTTACTGTCTTATCATTTTCTTAAACAGACAAAACACCTAAACCAGCATACCTCAAATTAAGACTTTTACTAACATTTTTGTCTGTTTTTAATAGACATCTTCAGGTATATATAACACAGAACAAAATGGACAAGCTTTTACAAACAAATTACAAATTCAGTTTAAAATTATTTCTTGATCAAATTATCAATTATAGGAGGGTGTCCTGATATAGGCCCACTTAGGCCTATATCCAGGACACCCTCCAAAAATTTCTGAGATTTTTGACTGCTCAGATTTGATTCCAGGTCTCCATAGAAGTAAGTTGATGCCTTACCTACTTCAGTGATCTGGCTGTCTATCATCATCATCATAATAATAATCATCAAGGGAGAAAAATGTTCTCAAGTATGTAGATTTTCTTTTTTTCAATAAGACCAAACTAAAAATAATAACCTTGTCTTTTTGTCAAGTTGGTGTATTTTTCACATTGCATTTGTAGTTTGTGATGCTGAAAGTTGGCAACTATAATCCTAGACCAATCTTTTCTTTCACATTAAAATGAATTTTTAAGAAAAAAGTTATTACATTTTCACAAAGTTGTAACAATTTAGTTATTATGCAAAATTCTGACCTTAAAAGTAGCTATTTTAGTAAATAATAACAGGTCATAATAATTTCTTAAGATATGGTTGGGGCATGGATTATATAATCTTATAGATTATATGTTATTTTACCTATATTGTATATATATATACAATCTAATAGATTATTTATACATAATGTTTCATTTTAAGCACCTTAAGATGAAACATTGCAAACCTTTATTTAAAATTTGAATAAAAACTACTGCTAAGAATACATAAGAGTTTACTTTAATAAAATAAATTATAAAAATGTAATTCAATTATTTATTACTAAAACAAAAAAAAAAATTTGTAAATATGACTTAAAAACAGTTGAGTAAAACTGATTATCAAAATGACAAATGTCTGAAATTTTAGAAAATGATAAATAATATACATAAAGTCCTCTTTGGAAACCTGAATTGCACTAACTACAGGCTAGCCAGTAACCTATCCAGTCATTTTTGAGATCCTTAAAGTTCAACATGATAATCCAACATATAAGCAGGAGTTTACAGCAAGTCAAGGATAATTCAAATGCTTCAAATGGTGTTATAGTTTTCATAATGTAAAAGTCAGTGATGAAACTGCAAGTATTAAGTTAGTAATAAGTTAAAGCCTTTTTTTCCAATTACTACTCTGAGAATTCTTAAGCTTTCAAAAATGTCAGAAAATATAAGCTTCCTGTGCATTATTGGCATAATAAAGTTTAGATAACACGTACAAATATCTAAACTACTATCAACATACTTTTTGTTACACAACCAATTTGCCTTGCCTTCTTGAGTCTTAAAAAATTGTGGTCTCATCCATGGCATTGTTGTGACAGGCCTCCTAAGCATTTCAAGGGTCTCTGTGGCAGACTTCTGAAGTTTTATGCAAAATTTAATATCTGCTCTTTGTTCAATTTTCAAATTAATTCTCAAATTGCAGAATGACATATTATTACAAAATCATGTGTAGCTGGCATTTTAGTTTGAAAATCTCAATTCCAGACTGACATTCAAATGTCTAAGGTAAATGCTATCAAAATTGCAAGTTGTGTCCACTAACTGAAAAAGACTAAGAATCACTGCTAACAAACATATCTACAGCTGAATTAGTTTCAGAATTTTTAATTATGGAATATGGCGTTTAATGTTGTCAGTGAAGCAGTTTTTGGCCAAGAAAGACATCACACTATTTGAACACCCATCTTACTTACCAGATCAAGCTCTGTATGATTTGTATCTCTTCCCTAAAGTGAAGACTGAAGAGAACCTGTTTTGGCCCAGTTTCTGCAGTTAAGGAAAAAAAAAAAACAGAGAGAAGCTCTGTTCTGTATACCCAGACAGAAACTGACTTGAAACAGTTATCATTAATGGAAGATCTAAATGCAGCAATATGTGGCTACAGAAGGAGCATACATTGAAGAAACACAAGTAAAATGAAGTTTCCAAATAATGATTAGGTTACAGCATTAGTCCTGTTATTTTGTAGCCACACAACATACAACTTTGATTTATTCAAAATTTAAAATCACTGAGTTTAAAGATTTGAACCCACTTCTTGAGCTTCAACTTCATTCCTAAGAACAAAAAGAATGATTTTGCAACATTGCAATATAATCTCTTAACAAAAGCCATTCAAATTTATTCTATTTGATTGAATGAGTTTGAATTTGTTATTAATATAAAATAAATTAAAACATTTCTTAATTTCAATATTCCATTTAATAAATAAAACTTGTACATTAAATAATTAACGTTCCACAGACAAGTGTCTTACTTATATTACAATAATTATACATTACAAAGTTTTTCTTTATCAATTGTAAAATTTTCATATTTTTGTTTAAATTCACATTTTTATTTAATATATACAAATATTTTTAAAGTAAACAGGAAAATAAAAAGTTTACACACAAAATATAAAAATTAATGTAATTTCAATTTCAAAATCATCTATCAATGAACAACTTTATTTTTATAAGAAAGTAGTTGATAGATATTTTCTTATTTCAGTTAAAACATTTAATGTCAAGAGACAATGTTTCTTACATATTTTATGAGTTACAATTTTGATGTATGTTGTTTTATTTTTATTAATGAAGAATTTTTAATTCCTTGTTTACACCATTTCATCATTTACTGTCATACGTCAATACTAAAATTTGGTATTTCAAAAATGAAATGTGTTCATTAAATGAGAAAAATAATTTTCAATCTTGGTTCTGTATACTACATAATTGTCATGTATTAATGGATTACATCTGCAGCTTTGAATTACCTTTACTTCTAGCAAATATTAATGTGGAACTCTTGGAAAGGAATCAAGACAACTTATTCTTGTTAGAAAAAACAGCTGTGTACATCCAGTTATGAAATACATTTCTACATTTCTTTATTCAGTTCCCATAAGTTCAGTGCACATGTTTTTCAAGAAATTAATAGTCCATTTGTACACTATCATAAATCCTATTATTAAATATATATAATTTAGTTGCAAAATAAAAATAAGAATATAGTTTTTAAACTTAAAACAGTTAAATAATGCTCAAAACATGGATTTAATTTGTTTTATAAATCTCATTTTTAACTTGCATATGTGAAAAAAAATCAAATATTTATCCTTTACAACGCAAGTTTGTTCCAGCATTTAAAAATAAACAAATCTGAATATGTGTTACAAGATTTCTATTGAAATCTTAAAATAAAAAGTAAATATTAAAATAATTGATAAATAATAGCAACCATATATAATAAACTGTATTTAAATGGACTAATTTCCAATGTAGATTAATAATAATTTTGCATCTCAACAGATTCTTTGATAAAACAGTGAATAACTATTAACTGAAAGATCAGGAATTTCTTCTAGGCCGTAATTACAAAGTCATTATAACAGGAATACTTGAGTAGCTTTTCCACCTAGAAACAAGAACAATTATATAATTAAAATTTAAATATGTGTGTTAATTTTTTATAATTGAGTGGCTTGATGGAAAAAAATTATCCCACAAAACAACAAAAAACGAGTTATTAATAAATTTGGATTTATACATCTTCTAAAAAACTTTTAAACCCATGGTTATCCATTAAAATTAATAAAATGTTGCATAGTAGAATACTGGTCAATTTAAATAAAAATCCTCCTTTTTCTTGAAAACTTCCTAATATGGGATACACTGTTTATCCACCAAGTCTCTCAATTGTTACTGTAAATATTTATTTAATTAATATATACTTTTTATATCACTTACCATTTTATATTTTTATCAAATTCAATTTCTACGCATAACAAAAACACTATTTGATGTGAAATCAAATTTTGCAGCAAGGAATAAGGATGGCACTTGATTATTATGATATAAGGAAAAATTAATAGATTAAACAGTAAAAGCACACATTACATGATGATAAAAACAGTTAACTGGAAAGAATAAAATGTTAGAAAAGGATTATAAAAGTATAATTTTTATATTGTTCAATTGCATGTCATTTCATAGATTAAAGCTGAACATTAAAAACATACTCAAGATATTAAGATATTTAATACATTTAACAAAGCACCATCACCTTTTAAAATAGTTTGAAATAAAGAGTTAATATTTATAAACTGATAATTGTTTCATTACAGTAAATATTGCCTAAAATAGTATATTTTTTACTTGAATCTTTTTATATCAATATCACAGATATAAGTAAAATTTATAAAGTTAAATAATAAACTACAGGTTGAGATTCCTTTATCCAAATGCTTGGGATCAGATTTTGGAATATTTGTATATTTGTACCTATAAAACAGCTTTAGGATAACTGATTTGATTCTTTTTACTTTATTCTTCTGATCCTTATTTAGGGATTTTTATTAATTTTCAATAAAACAACAAAATTTCATGTCTGTGTGAATATGTTTTTTTTTAGTGTATCTACTCTAGATGTACGAAAATATTTTTAAAAGATATTCATATAAAGGTATTATTTGATCTCTTCAAAGAATATATATTTGTTTAAATTTTGAATATGTGTTCTGGTAAACAATGTTAAAAACAAATTGAACTATACTCAAACTCAGAATATGAAAAAGTCATGCCTATTGTGTGTGTCTGTGTATGTATATATAAATAAAAAAACATTTCTCATGAAGTTTATCAGCTGGGTGACAAAAAAAATCATCCAGGCAGGGTGCCCAGCAAAAAGCACCTGAGAAAAACACTAGAATATTCCCAGCTCAGTACTTTGTGGAATTGTCCATTTGTGGCACATTATGTCGGCACTCAAAAAATTTTCAGATTTTGAAGGGTTTTAGATAAAGGATTCTCAACCTGTATCATTATTAATATTAGAATTTTACTGATCTAATATGATCAGTAAAATCATATTATTCTTCATACTTTCTACAAGTACACTATATAATATACAGTACTTATACAAAATATTTTGTAATTTTTAAAAACAAATACTACTAAATATTGTCTTAACCAAAATATGATTTATAATATTTGAAATCAGTTTCTAGAGAAAAATGTTTACACTGTGGTTAGTTAGCAGAGTTAATTTTATTCAATAATATTAAGATAAATTAAAATGAGAGTATAAATCTAATCTACTTTAATGTTTTAAAAGTATTCTTTCCTCAAAATTGTTGTATATTATAATAAAAGCCAGATTATATCAGGCTATTATTAATAATTAAATGCTAAGTAATTTGGCACTAGAGATAGGCATTAGGTACCATCTCAGGCTAAATTTAATAATTATAATTAAATTAATAGTATTATTAATAGTAAGATAGCTTGATATAATTCAGCAATCTTTTGGCTTTAATATATAATTATTGGATTTTATATGGTAAAATATCTTCCAACTATCAACAACATTCTGTGTTCCACTGAAAAAATATTTATTTTTGTATCAGTATCAAAATACTAGTATTTAATTGAAATAATACTGGTATTTCAGTGGTGCAAAAATTATCTGGTATATCGGTAGTACAAGTCATATATTATTATTTAAAGTTAATTATTTCATTGCCAAGCCTAGCACAGGATTTTTAGAAGGATAGGATTTTAGAAACAAACATTCATTTTCATAATGTACAGTACATTATTATTTTATCACTTTAAGTATACCAGGTGTATAAGCTTATCTGCTGTTTTTTAGTCAGAAAAACACATTTTTTTCTTAGAAAGCAAAAACAAATTTATTCAAAGTACTTTCCCTCACTAGCGACACATTTTTTTCATCTCTCGGGCAATATGTGGATACCATGCCAAAAAACTTCCTTCTCTTTTGAGGCAAACCACTCATCAAGCCATTTTCGGACATCTTTGTAAGAATTGAAGCGCCGCTCAGCGAGTGAGTGGCCCATCGATGAAAACAGGTGATAGTCAGAAGGGGCCAGGTCTGGTGAATAAGCAGGATGTGTTAGCACCTCCCAGTTGAGTGTCTCCAAGTAGTTTTGGACCAATGTTGACACGTGTGATGGTACATTGTCTTGGAGGAAAATCAGCTTGTCGTGTCTTTGCTGATAATCCGGCCTTTTTTCATGCAGAGCTTGATGCAATTTGATCAGTTGTTGGTGGTAGTGGTGGGCATTGACAGTTTCACCAGGTTTCAACAGCTCATAGTAGACAATACCCTGCTGATCTCACCAAATGCACAGCATTGTCTTCTGTCCAAAGTGATTTGGTCTTGAGGAAGATGTTGATGGTTTGCCTGGATCAACCCACGATTTCTTGCGTTTAGGATTCTCGAAATATATCCATTTCTCATCACCAGTTACAATCCGATGCAGAAACAACTTTCTTTTTTGTCTGGCGAGCAAGATTTTGCATGTGTTTTGGCGTCGCTCCATCTGCCTATCATTCAATTCATGCAGCACCCATTTTCCGATCTTCTGAATCTTTCCCATGGCACAGACGCATAGAAATGGCTGGTTGAGTAACACCCAATTGTTCAGCAAGCATTGGGTATCGTCCTCATCCAAAAGAGCATGCAGTTGATGGTCCTCAACCTACCTGGGCCAATTTTCACACTTTCTTGTAGCTCAGGTCAAAATTTTCATCTTTGAACTGATGAAACCAATCTCTGCACGTGGTTTCCGATAAAGCACTGTTGCCATAGGCCTCCACAAGAATTTGATATGCTTCGGCAGCCGATTTCTTCAAATTGAAGCAGAAAAGCAAAGCTTGCTGCATATGCTCTTTTTCTGGCACAAAAGTAGACATCATTACCAAAGAAAAAATATATGTTGTTGTATGAAATTGCTGATGATGTGCACTGATTAATGTTGACAGATGTCAAAATCATAAAAAAAAAATATGGTGTCGTCATGATAGCTTAATATGCTCAATTACGCCACCTATTAGCAAACAGCGGATTTAAGCTTATACACCTGGTATAGTTTAACATACCATAGACTAAGAAGAAACTGAATGCATTCAAATAAAGTCATATACAACATACTGTTTTAATAATGAAACAAATTTTCTATTTAAATTGTCAAATGGAAAAAGTTAAACCCCCAAAACTCATGTATCCATGTCATTGCTATTAATTTTAGAAAGTAATAGAACAAATTCTTCCTTCAAAATGTTGTAAAAAATGTCCCATCTTTATATATGGCATTTACAAGTTTATATATGAACTTATATTCATATAGTATTTGATAAAATTTTTATAACATCATAATCTAAATATACAACAATTTATAATAAATGTTATTCAAATGTATTAAAAAAAAATTGCAACAAAAGCAATTTATAAATAATAAACTAAACAAAATGTAGAAGGTTATAAAATTTAATATATGGAATAACAAATTATCATAATTATATAAAGTTTAATATATTAAAGTTAATAATTACCTGTAATGCATTGTATAATAACTGATGTTCAAATTTTTTCACTCCAAGAATATTTTGAAACATATCATACAGTTGTTCTTTACTTAATATAAGTTCTGATGCAATATTTTGTTGAATTCTACTTTGAGGTTTCCGTGAATCCTCATCACCTCGAAAAATAGCATCAAACTTCGTCATCCAAGAAGTTAAGACAGTTTCTTTACTTAAGCCATCAATTTCAGGTAGACTTCTAACTCTCTTTTCAATATTATTTCTAAATACTTCACGAAAATCATGTGCAGAACATGCTCCACTTTGTACCATTCTCATTACTCTATCACTTTTAAGAAACACTTCAGTGTAATTTTGAACTGCATTTTGGAATGCTTCATCTGCAGCTATTTGTGTTTCTCCTTTTAAAAAAGATTGAAAACGACCTAAAATTGTTTCAAGTTGTTGTTTTGTTACTTTAGTTTGTCTACGAGTCATATCTGTTGGCTGTTTAGCATTAAAAGGATATGCAATACATCTTAAAACAAATACATATAACTGAAGACGTTTTTTTCTTTCTTCTTCCTCTTTTTCAATTGTTTTTTCTGGATCTTCTTTTTCCTTTTCTTTCTCACTTACAAGTGATGGGCTTGGACTAGAAGGGCGTTGACTGTTGGTCCATTGCTGTGATCCACTACCAACACTTAAAGTATCTCCAGCACTTGAAGGAGAAAGGTTTCTTGAAACACTACTGCTTTGAGGCAACTCCAAATTAGTTGAAGCTGGTGGAAGTTGTGTTGCCTCTGAACTTTCATCTTCAACAGTTTCATTATCACTTTCTTCTTCTGATGACGATGGCTCTAACATGACTTTAAAGTGAACTGTATAATAATTTCAAAATACACTTTTTAATTTCAGATTAATATGAACAGCTAGTGGATATTTTATAATAGAACTTTTCTTTTTCATTTTAGATTATATTCTTATAACATTTTCATTAAATTTTATATTTTTTATAGCTATATTGTTGATAGCCCTCAACTCCGGGAAAAGATTTTGGTAGATTAACCTGCATAAATAAAATAATATAAATTAATTATATTATTAGAATAAATATAATTAATACTAATTTTTATGTTACATTTTAAAGAATTGTAATGCTTACAAAGACATTTATATTCATTTCTTAACTTTTTTACTAAGTTAGAATAAAATGTTAAATTGAATTTAAAAATTTACAAAAAAATAAGAACAGATGCAAAATGAGTTTAAAATAAATAAATATGTTATATTGCTATTTATTTATCAATAGCATAACATATTAATATTAATAGTACTATTCACATAGATTATATTATATAAAATTCAGAATCTACAAATATATATTTAAAGATACGGTGAAACTTCGTTACCAACACTCAGTCCTTTGGGCTGAGAATTTGCCTTAGGAAGTAGTTGTCAGCCCATCAGTCTGAGTTACAAATTCTCCATCTTTTTGAGATAACTGATATCTTTATTGCATTGTCTTTATTGATTTTATGATCAATATTAAAAATCCAAAGTTTGCTTGTATGGCAGTGTTTAGAAACTGTCCACTCTGATACATTAACATTTTCTTTCAGATCAACATTGCTATTCGATACAAGAATTTCAATGGAAGTTTTAAATTTCTGATTAAGTCATAAAAAATTCTCTCTCAGAAATTGCTGCTTACAAAATTTTGTTTTAAAATGTGGTAGATATACAAGAACTTCCACTCTTTGGTACAAGAAAGCAGATTTTACTTCTTATAANTTAAAATTTAAATATGTGTGTTAATTTTTTATAATTGAGTGGCTTGATGGAAAAAAATTATCCCACAAAACAACAAAAAACGAGTTATTAATAAATTTGGATTTATACATCTTCTAAAAAACTTTTAAACCCATGGTTATCCATTAAAATTAATAAAATGTTGCATAGTAGAATACTGGTCAATTTAAATAAAAATCCTCCTTTTTCTTGAAAACTTCCTAATATGGGATACACTGTTTATCCACCAAGTCTCTCAATTGTTACTGTAAATATTTATTTAATTAATATATACTTTTTATATCACTTACCATTTTATATTTTTATCAAATTCAATTTCTACGCATAACAAAAACACTATTTGATGTGAAATCAAATTTTGCAGCAAGGAATAAGGATGGCACTTGATTATTATGATATAAGGAAAAATTAATAGATTAAACAGTAAAAGCACACATTACATGATGATAAAAACAGTTAACTGGAAAGAATAAAATGTTAGAAAAGGATTATAAAAGTATAATTTTTATATTGTTCAATTGCATGTCATTTCATAGATTAAAGCTGAACATTAAAAACATACTCAAGATATTAAGATATTTAATACATTTAACAAAGCACCATCACCTTTTAAAATAGTTTGAAATAAAGAGTTAATATTTATAAACTGATAATTGTTTCATTACAGTAAATATTGCCTAAAATAGTATATTTTTTACTTGAATCTTTTTATATCAATATCACAGATATAAGTAAAATTTATAAAGTTAAATAATAAACTACAGGTTGAGATTCCTTTATCCAAATGCTTGGGATCAGATTTTGGAATATTTGTATATTTGTACCTATAAAACAGCTTTAGGATAACTGATTTGATTCTTTTTACTTTATTCTTCTGATCCTTATTTAGGGATTTTTATTAATTTTCAATAAAACAACAAAATTTCATGTCTGTGTGAATATGTTTTTTTTTAGTGTATCTACTCTAGATGTACGAAAATATTTTTAAAAGATATTCATATAAAGGTATTATTTGATCTCTTCAAAGAATATATATTTGTTTAAATTTTGAATATGTGTTCTGGTAAACAATGTTAAAAACAAATTGAACTATACTCAAACTCAGAATATGAAAAAGTCATGCCTATTGTGTGTGTCTGTGTATGTATATATAAATAAAAAAACATTTCTCATGAAGTTTATCAGCTGGGTGACAAAAAAAATCATCCAGGCAGGGTGCCCAGCAAAAAGCACCTGAGAAAAACACTAGAATATTCCCAGCTCAGTACTTTGTGGAATTGTCCATTTGTGGCACATTATGTCGGCACTCAAAAAATTTTCAGATTTTGAAGGGTTTTAGATAAAGGATTCTCAACCTGTATCATTATTAATATTAGAATTTTACTGATCTAATATGATCAGTAAAATCATATTATTCTTCATACTTTCTACAAGTACACTATATAATATACAGTACTTATACAAAATATTTTGTAATTTTTAAAAACAAATACTACTAAATATTGTCTTAACCAAAATATGATTTATAATATTTGAAATCAGTTTCTAGAGAAAAATGTTTACACTGTGGTTAGTTAGCAGAGTTAATTTTATTCAATAATATTAAGATAAATTAAAATGAGAGTATAAATCTAATCTACTTTAATGTTTTAAAAGTATTCTTTCCTCAAAATTGTTGTATATTATAATAAAAGCCAGATTATATCAGGCTATTATTAATAATTAAATGCTAAGTAATTTGGCACTAGAGATAGGCATTAGGTACCATCTCAGGCTAAATTTAATAATTATAATTAAATTAATAGTATTATTAATAGTAAGATAGCTTGATATAATTCAGCAATCTTTTGGCTTTAATATATAATTATTGGATTTTATATGGTAAAATATCTTCCAACTATCAACAACATTCTGTGTTCCACTGAAAAAATATTTATTTTTGTATCAGTATCAAAATACTAGTATTTAATTGAAATAATACTGGTATTTCAGTGGTGCAAAAATTATCTGGTATATCGGTAGTACAAGTCATATATTATTATTTAAAGTTAATTATTTCATTGCCAAGCCTAGCACAGGATTTTTAGAAGGATAGGATTTTAGAAACAAACATTCATTTTCATAATGTACAGTACATTATTATTTTATCACTTTAAGTATACCAGGTGTATAAGCTTATCTGCTGTTTTTTAGTCAGAAAAACACATTTTTTTCTTAGAAAGCAAAAACAAATTTATTCAAAGTACTTTCCCTCACTAGCGACACATTTTTTTCATCTCTCGGGCAATATGTGGATACCATGCCAAAAAACTTCCTTCTCTTTTGAGGCAAACCACTCATCAAGCCATTTTCGGACATCTTTGTAAGAATTGAAGTGCCGCTCAGCGAGTGAGTGGCCCATCGATGAAAACAGGTGATAGTCAGAAGGGGCCAGGTCTGGTGAATAAGCAGGATGTGTTAGCACCTCCCAGTTGAGTGTCTCCAAGTAGTTTTGGACCAATGTTGACACGTGTGATGGTACATTGTCTTGGAGGAAAATCAGCTTGTCGTGTCTTTGCTGATAATCCGGCCTTTTTTCATGCAGAGCTTGATGCAATTTGATCAGTTGTTGGTGGTAGTGGTGGGCATTGACAGTTTCACCAGGTTTCAACAGCTCATAGTAGACAATACCCTGCTGATCTCACCAAATGCACAGCATTGTCTTCTGTCCAAAGTGATTTGGTCTTGAGGAAGATGTTGATGGTTTGCCTGGATCAACCCACGATTTCTTGCGTTTAGGATTCTCGAAATATATCCATTTCTCATCACCAGTTACAATCCGATGCAGAAACAACTTTCTTTTTTGTCTGGCGAGCAAGATTTCGCATGTGTTTTGGCGTCGCTCCATCTGCCTATCATTCAATTCATGCAGCACCCATTTTCCGATCTTCTGAATCTTTCCCATGGCACAGACGCATAGAAATGGCTGGTTGAGTAACACCCAATTGTTCAGCAAGCATTGGGTATCGTCCTCATCCAAAAGAGCATGCAGTTGATGGTCCTCAACCTACCTGGGCCAATTTTCACACTTTCTTGTAGCTCAGGTCAAAATTTTCATCTTTGAACTGATGAAACCAATCTCTGCACGTGGTTTCCGATAAAGCACTGTTGCCATAGGCCTCCACAAGAATTTGATATGCTTCGGCAGCCGATTTCTTCAAATTGAAGCAGAAAAGCAAAGCTTGCTGCATATGCTCTTTTTCTGGCACAAAAGTAGACATCATTACCAAAGAAAAAATATATGTTGTTGTATGAAATTGCTGATGATGTGCACTGATTAATGTTGACAGATGTCAAAATCATAAAAAAAAAATATGGTGTCGTCATGATAGCTTAATATGCTCAATTACGCCACCTATTAGCAAACAGCGGATTTAAGCTTATACACCTGGTATAGTTTAACATACCATAGACTAAGAAGAAACTGAATGCATTCAAATAAAGTCATATACAACATACTGTTTTAATAATGAAACAAATTTTCTATTTAAATTGTCAAATGGAAAAAGTTAAACCCCCAAAACTCATGTATCCATGTCATTGCTATTAATTTTAGAAAGTAATAGAACAAATTCTTCCTTCAAAATGTTGTAAAAAATGTCCCATCTTTATATATGGCATTTACAAGTTTATATATGAACTTATATTCATATAGTATTTGATAAAATTTTTATAACATCATAATCTAAATATACAACAATTTATAATAAATGTTATTCAAATGTATTAAAAAAAATTTGCAACAAAAGCAATTTATAAATAATAAACTAAACAAAATGTAGAAGGTTATAAAATTTAATATATGGAATAACAAATTATCATAATTATATAAAGTTTAATATATTAAAGTTAATAATTACCTGTAATGCATTGTATAATAACTGATGTTCAAATTTTTTCACTCCAAGAATATTTTGAAACATATCATACAGTTGTTCTTTACTTAATATAAGTTCTGATGCAATATTTTGTTGAATTCTACTTTGAGGTTTCCGTGAATCCTCATCACCTCGAAAAATAGCATCAAACTTCGTCATCCAAGAAGTTAAGACAGTTTCTTTACTTAAGCCATCAATTTCAGGTAGACTTCTAACTCTCTTTTCAATATTATTTCTAAATACTTCACGAAAATCATGTGCAGAACATGCTCCACTTTGTACCATTCTCATTACTCTATCACTTTTAAGAAACACTTCAGTGTAATTTTGAACTGCATTTTGGAATGCTTCATCTGCAGCTATTTGTGTTTCTCCTTTTAAAAAAGATTGAAAACGACCTAAAATTGTTTCAAGTTGTTGTTTTGTTACTTTAGTTTGTCTACGAGTCATATCTGTTGGCTGTTTAGCATTAAAAGGATATGCAATACATCTTAAAACAAATACATATAACTGAAGACGTTTTTTTCTTTCTTCTTCCTCTTTTTCAATTGTTTTTTCTGGATCTTCTTTTTCCTTTTCTTTCTCACTTACAAGTGATGGGCTTGGACTAGAAGGGCGTTGACTGTTGGTCCATTGCTGTGATCCACTACCAACACTTAAAGTATCTCCAGCACTTGAAGGAGAAAGGTTTCTTGAAACACTACTGCTTTGAGGCAACTCCAAATTAGTTGAAGCTGGTGGAAGTTGTGTTGCCTCTGAACTTTCATCTTCAACAGTTTCATTATCACTTTCTTCTTCTGATGACGATGGCTCTAACATGACTTTAAAGTGAACTGTATAATAATTTCAAAATACACTTTTTAATTTCAGATTAATATGAACAGCTAGTGGATATTTTATAATAGAACTTTTCTTTTTCATTTTAGATTATATTCTTATAACATTTTCATTAAATTTTATATTNTATAAACTCAGCCATGTTCTTTACAAAAATGATATTGTACAAAACTATTTCATAATAGATATTTCTATTTATTAAAAATAACATATATGTTAAATAAAATTTTAGCTAATGTATTTCCCCTATTCCAGTTATTATTCCTTATTATTATTAATTCCTTTAAGGGTTCTAACCCTTAAAGGAATTAATAAATTCAATTTGGTTCAATTCAATAGTTTGATAGGCTGCAAGAAAATGACTTTTATCACAGCTGCTATGATTCAATGTCTTAAATACAAAAATGAAAAATATTAATGCAATTCTTAATTTCATAAAACTCGTTATAGAAAAAATTTTTAGTCTAAAATATATTTAAACTAATTTTTATTGCCAATAATTAAAACATTAATTTTGTAAATAAAATCATAAAATTAATTTTATGATATTTATATTATAATTAACTTATAAAATTATGTAGATGGCAGTAGCAAAAATATTTATAAATATAATATGACTTTGTCAAATATGCAAGACAAAATTGTTGGAATTAAATGTGATTACTAAGGTCTGGATACTTATGTAATACATGCTTTTTCCTGTCTCACCACATATCCAACTGACAGTTGGATATATGGTGAGATTTCTATGCACTACAAATCTTCTCAAAAACGAAGTTTTTAATTTACATGTAAGCTATACAACACATTTAGACACTTTGAAAAAAGGCAAAAATATATAAAATATGTGCTAAATACCTTTGGATCTCAGTATTTGTCACCTCTGTAAGATGTTATTAATGATGTCACTTTGACTTTGGTTCAACAAACTAGGTGTTTGTTTGTTGAATCAAAGCTACCATCGTCAGGTGAATATTTAATACAACAGTTTTCAAATTCTGAGCTTTCGAACAATTTATGAAATTATATGAAGCACGTGGATAGAATACCAATATGAATTGTAATAGAATAAGAATTCAAAAATTTTTTGAACAGCAAATGAGACATAATATCCCCAAATATGTGTAGAGAGTGATAATGATGTTCTAGAAATGTAGATTAGATTGCTTGAATAAAGATGTCCATATTTGTAGGATTTCAAGAGTTGTTTTGCACAGTGTTAAAGCCGATATGTAGAGGTTCTCCCAAATAAATAATTCTTTCCGATTGTTGCACCATTTGAGTAATTTTGTTTGGGTGTAGAGCAGCTGATAATCTTGATCAAGCACTTTTTTTTGCCAATTCTGTTGACAGTATACTGTTTCTGATATTCTAGGATGTGAGAAATTAACATTCTGGCTGTGGCCCCATGTAGCTGGTCTCTTCTCCTGACATATCACGTTTTAGTGGAATTTGATAGAACCCAGATTTTTCATTCAATTTAAAAATATCTCTGTCATTGCATAACAATCTTCTTAGTGTTGGTTGTGTAGTTAACGGTAAAATAAAACCATTCATTCTAAAAAGATGTACTATTTTTAGAGAGATGGGGCCTAAAAACGGTATCAGAGGATGTGCTATTTTTAGATCTTCTATGTTAGTAATAAAAGACTGTGAAAATAGTTTGTTTTTAACACAATTTTGGAGAAAGTGGAATTTAGATCTAGAATATCCAGCTTTTTGCATAGCTCTGCTAACGAGTTGCAATTCTTCTTCCACTAGTGCTTGGTTGGAAGGGAGGAGGTAAGCCCTCCGCATGAGGGAAGTTATGGCAGAGTTCATATAGTTTAAAGGTCGGAAGGCTGTTGAAGGGATAATTTGCAGTGCATTGTTGTTTCTATGATGTACAGAAAATAGGAGCTCAGAAGATGTATGGATTTCTAGATTTAAGAAAGAGATTCTGGCATTTTGTTCTTCCTCTACTGTAAAGTTGATAGAAGGATAAACAGAGGCCAACGCTTGAATAAATTGTTCTAAATCTTTAGTAGAGCCTTCCCATGGAAGCAGTATGTCATCAACATAATGTAAATACATAATTGAGTATTAAATGGTCAAAGGGGCATTGAAAATTCGATGTTTCACATAATGATCTCTACCAACATAGGTAATAGTGGGGAACCCATAGGTATTCCCCATGTCTGTTTATATATCATGGCATTAAGTCCTAAGTCTCCTAAGGAACGTTTCCCGGATAGGGATCTCTTTCCCTGCCCCGCCTAATTGACACCACAGGGTTGAGAGACTATGTCTTTCCTTTGTCTTCGACTGAGGGGTTTCTGCCGCTTTACAAACGACAAAGCCTGGCCCTGCGAGAACTTTCACAGTCGCTAGGCCTAGCTCTCTAACGTGACATAGCTTTTAGAGTTGTGCAGCATGTGCTACACTTTATTCCACTGACTAATTAATTGTTCGTTTAATAGATATCGGACAGCAGGGTCCCCTTCCCTACAAGAAAGAGGGGGCCCAACCCAGTGCGTCCACTAGGCACATAGATCATAAGTCTATGATCATTTCCATCAATTCCTTTAGTTTCTTTAAGTTTCCTTTACTAGATGCTAGCGTTCAAAGTACTTGTTCAGGCGGCCGAGACCAGTTGACTTGGTTGGCCCCTCGGCGGAAATCCTCAGTAAGAGGACAGTCAAGTACGTAGTGTCTTGCGTCTCCGCAAGAACTCCCACAGGAGCAGCTACCATCTCCCTGCCCAAAACGAGACTGGAAGTGGGGAAACTTCCCGTGGCCAGTCAGTATCTGAGTTGTGAGCCTATTGCAGCACACCGAAGTGAGGCCAACTACAGGCACGAAGGCGTAGGTTGACCTACCTACTGTACTTTGATTCCAGCGCTCTTGCCAGATGGTCATCGATCGTTTTCGCAAGGTACCTTTGATATAAACAGCCGAGGGTTCCACCGTCCTCGTTATAAAAGGACCGCTAGCTCCCGCCTTTGCTAGCTGATCAGCACGCTCGTTACCCAGGATCCCGGTGTGGCCTCGGACCCAACACAGGGTAACTTGTCACTTGTGCCTCACCCTCAGCACCTTGCATCTGATCTCATGTACCAGCGAATCGCGATGGTACCCGTCGTTCAAAGCCTGTAGCAACGACTGGCTATCAGAGTAAACCGTGACCGGCTCTGGACCCGGATGTAATAGGATCCACTGGGACACCCCCACCAAGGCCACCAGTTCTGCCTGGAACACGGACGCCTTCTCATTCAATCTGACTGACTGTTCGTACACTTGCACTCCATTACAGAAAACGCAGAATGCGGCACCTACTAAGCTGCCGTCTTTTGAGCCATCGGTGTATATTTCAACACCCGTACCAGTCGGTTCACCGACTTCCCAGCCGAGTCCAATTTGTTGGGCCGGATGGACTTTGAAGACCTCTACCCTATGCCTAAGTCTGACTGGGTACTTCTGATTACAATGCGTTGCCTCTAATCCTTCTACTGTGGTTCTGTAGAAGGCCACCTCTTGGCTGACTACCAAGGCAGCAGGAGCAGCCCGGCCAAGACCAGGGCTGCGTCCGTAGACACAGATCTGTAAGCTCTCGTGATCCGCAGGGCAGCGGGCCTTTGGATCGTGAACAGCGTCCTGCTCATTTTGACATTGGCAGTGTCGTTCCACCAAACTCCACAGGCATAGCAGACGACTCGCTCCACACACCTCTTGTAGATGGTGCGGAGCGCTTCTCCACCTAAGCCATAGTCCTGTCTCGCTAGTCTTGATAGTGCTGCTATCATGAGGTTCGTCTTCTCGCAGACGTTCCTCAGATGGGGCGTCCAGCATAGTGTCTGATCGATGGTAACACCGAAGTACTTAATCTCGCTCACTTTCTGATGGGGTTTCCCCGGATCCGGTATATTGGTCGGCGGGCCAACACTCCAGTCCGGGCCACCGTCAGGGCCTCCAATTTCTCGGGGCTGAAAGAGAGCTTGTGCAGCTCTCCCCAGCGAACGAGTTGTTCTATTGCTTCATTGCCGCGACTCTCCATGTCGCTACGGCTGTAGCCTGCAATACTAACAACAGATCGTCAGCATATGCCTGCAGCTGGACATCGTCCAGAAGGACTAGTTGCAGCGCCGTGTCCGCTAAAATGTTTCATAGCAAAGGCCCGATACAGGATCTTTGGGGACAGCCCCTCTCCAGTATCTTCGTATGTCTTGCACTCGGCGTCTCGTAGATTACCTCGCGGTCGCTCAGGAAACTCCTGGTAAGCGATACAAGGGTGGTCGGCAGGTTCGCCTTCCTCAGTTCACCCACAATGGATAGCCACCAGACATTGTCAAATGCCCCCGCGACGTCCATCGAAACGAGCGATGTGTGGAGGCCCTGCTGGCGGTTCTGGCGAACCAGAGAAACCGCATGATGTAGCGCCTGGCAGGTAGACAAGTCCGGCCGGAACCCATATTGGTGTGGGTGTAACAGCCCTTTCCGCTTTAAGTGGTAATGTATTCTGTCACTAAGGATTCTATCAAGAACCTCCCTAGGACTGGCAAGAGACTGATCAGTCTATAAGACTTCGGTTCATCCTTCGGGCGCCTCTCCTTATGAATAAACACAAGTCGCGCCCGTTTCCACAATACTGGGAAGTGACCCAGTTGCAGACACTTCTGATACAGCTCACGAAGCAGGCCAGGACGTTCATGTTGTAGAACTTGTACCATTTCGGCCGTGATCCCATCAACGCCAGGTGCCTTCCTCTTCCTTAGCATGTCCACAACGTGGACTACCTCAGATTTGGACACTGGCACGGGTAACTCGGCCTCAAGAACGGGCAACTCCGCGTCACTTCGAAGCCGCCAATGTTCTTCGGTATCATCGGACTGCTCATCGCACGAAAAGTGCGAGCGGAGCAGCACCTGTATCAATTCCTCCTGTGTGGAGGTTAGGGTGCCATTAGGTCTTTTCATGGCCCCCAAGACCGTACTATGCTTGAGTTTGCCCACTGCTAGCTTGTAGGGTAGACAGAACGGGTTATTGTCACTAACTTCCTTACAGAATCCGAGCCATGAGGTCTTTTTCGCATCGTTTAATTTGCACTTGTACTCAGCATTGGCCCTCTGGAACTCCAGTTTCCTGGTAGCCCGAAGGTCATTGTCCCTGCATCGTTGAAAGCGTCGGCAGAGCGCCCTCACACGCTTCCAAAAGACACTCAGTTCCTGGGTCCACCAGGTAACTGACCGGTGTTTGTGGAGCTGCCACTGCACGAGTGTGCAGTCTCCTGCTCCTCTGATCGCATTGGTTAAATTTGCCACCACATCCACCAGATCCTCGACACTCTCAACCTTAGAGACTTGAATGGCGATATCGGCTGTCTTTTCTTTGAGGCATTTGCTAAAACGATCGCGGTTTCCGGCGGTCAGCATGTAGCGGTAGCTCGGCCAGGCAATCGAGCCGTTCGACACCTTGAAAGAGATGAAACAATGCTCACTACAGCTTTCCGCATCGATCGTTTCCCACTGAGAGGTCAGTCTCAACATAGCTCCACTAACGATAGTCAGATCAATCCAGCTTTCCCCATTGGCGTTGGAGAAGGTAGCAATCCCGAACGGATCGTTCAGAATATGCATACCCCACCCCTCCACCGTCTCCTTCATCATGTTCCCATTCAGATCGTCCACGGGAGAACCCCACAGTGAGTGCTTGGCGTTAAAGTCACCAGCCAAGACAACTCGACCGCGGAGCGGGACAACCCTTTCGAGCATCATGGCATTAAATTGAAAGTAATTGTTTTCAGTTATGAGAAAGAGAAATTCACATAAATGAATTACATGTGATGTTGGGTAGCCTGAGTCGAGCAGCAGAGTATTTGCAAGCATGACGGCATCGCAATATAGTACAGAGATAAAAGAAAATAAAGTCAACCTTGTACAAGTGGTATGAATTGGCGAGGAGGTCTTTTAGTTTAGTTAAGATGATTGCTTTAGCATCCACAGAGGCTGTGGTCACATAGATGGAAGGGGGTAATAAAGCTGTAATTTGTTTTGATATTGCAGCTTTTAAGTGGTATGTGGGCTGGGTGCATTTGTTGACTAAAGGTCTTAATGGCCAGGCAGACTTATAGATTTTGGCCTCAAAAAATAATTTAGGGCAAGCAACATTGGTGGATTGAGAGGACCTACTAAGAAAGCTACAATTCCTGGTAGAGCTATAATCTTATGTGTTTTTCTTAATATTGTATTGGTTGGGTCTTGAAAATGTACTCTGTGTTCCATAAATTTAACAACATATCCCNATTTAAAAATATATAAAATATGTGCTAAATACTTTTGGATCTCAGTATTTGTCACCTCTGTAAGATGCCATTAATGATGTAACTTTGACTTTGGTTCAACAAACTAGGTGTTTGTTTGTTGAACCAAAGCTACCATCGTCAGGTGAATATTGAATACAACAGTTTTCAAATTCTGAGCTTTTGAACAATTTATGAAATTATATGAAGCGCGTGGATAGAATACCAATATGAATTTGTAATAGAATAAGAATTCAAAAATTTTTTGAACAGCAAATGAGTGACGTAATATCCCCAAATATGTGTAGAGAGTGATAATGATGTTCTAGAAATGTAGATTAGATTGCTTGAATTAAGATGTCTATATTTGTAGGATTTCAAGAATTGTTTTGCACAGTGTTAAAGCTGATATGTAGATGTTCTCCTAAATAAATAATTCTTTCCGATTATTGCACCATTTGAGTAACTTTGTTTGGGCCTAGAGCAGCTGATAATCTTGATCAAGTACTTTTTTTGCCAATTATGTTGACGGTCTACTGTTTCTGATATTTTAAGATGTGAGAAATTAACATTCTGGCTGTGGCCCCATGTAGTTGGTCCCTTCTCCTGACATATCACGTTTTAGTGGAATTTGATAGACCCCAGATTTTTCATTCAATTTAAAAATATCTCTGTCATTGCATAACAGTCTTCTTAGTGTTGGTTGTGTGGTTAACGGTAAAATAAAACCATTCATTCTAAAAAGATGTACTATTTTTAGAGAGATGGGGCCTAAAAATGGTATCGGAGGATGTGCTAT